AAAAAAAAGAGCCCAAAACAGCAGCAATAACAACTACAACAACAAAAAAAAACATGTTATCAACTCTCCAATATTTAGATTCTTATTTTTTTTTAATAAAGTCCATATTATTTCAACTTTCACATTCAAATTAATATTATTATTATTATTTATTTTTTTTTTTTTTTGGGGGGGGGTCGAAAAATAAATTTGATGCGTTTATAATTATTCACAGAAAAAATGTACATACGACATTATACAAGTATAACATGAAATGAGTATAGAGAGAATAAACATAATTTTATAGCACTTTGACATTCATATTATATAGATATTTTCTCTAAATTTACATTTACATTTATATTTTCAATATTTGTTCAAGTAATTACCGTTCTACTACAGTTCTGTTATAGTGTTCTTAATGAAACTTTGTAAATAGGCTAATAATACCATTGAGGTAATATCTTTGAATTGTTGCCTTTAAACATATCGATATGTGTCATGTATTCAAAATACCACAAGTAGATTACGTTTTTATAAATCATGATGGGATAAGTGAAATTGGCAAAATAATGGACTTTTTGTGTGTGTTTTTTTTTCTTCAAAATACGATGTTCATTACGTTTAAGAAAAAAGAGGTCCACTGGCCACTAGCCCAATAACTATGTTGTAGTTTTCTAATTCTTAATTTTGTCCAGTGAGGAGGTAGTCGCTCGTATACCAAAGAATTCTTATTTCTGTACTGTGGATCATGGACACAAATGCAGGTGACATGGATACCCACGATTCTAAAGGTGTGGGGGGGGACAATTTAAAAATACCCCCCCCCCCACCCTTACGAATTTAGGAACAAGCCTACATGTGTAAGCCTATATAACTGTAGGCCTAATATATCAAATATTAGCATGGTGTTGTTGTTGTTTTTATTTTTCCTTGCAGTTTTTTTCCAGTTATCAAAATATAAAGTTATCAATTTTTTAGTCTGAGTTTTGCTATTGAGGATTCCCCCTAAGCCAGGTCCTACACTTTGCCCAGCTAGTCTTGACAGAACAAGCAAGGGGACTACCTTGTGAGTTTACACCTAGAAAATTGCTAATTATTTTAAAAATCATCTATGAACAGTAAATTAGTATACATCTAATAAAACAGTGTTTTTATCCAAATCATTTGGTATCATTTTTGTGTGTTATGTGTTCACGCTTGGATGAACAGGAGGCATTGTTTGCGAGAGTGCAAAATTCCTCATGTTCATCCAAGCGTGCACACAGCACACATACCCCACAAAAATGATACCAACAGATTTGGGATAAACACTCCTTCATAAGATGTATAATAATTCACTGTTCATAGATGATTTTTAATATAATTAGCAATTTTCTAGGTGTAAACTTTTTTTTGACTCACACTGTATATAGACTCGATCGCATCCTACGATGCTTCCTCCAAACTCAAAGCTTTTCCTATCTTTGAATATCAGAACATTTTGAAAGGGAATCAAATTCAGGGGATATATCTATACATGCATGATACAATAAATTATATTCTTTCGCAGAATAATAAAACGAATGAGGAAGTTAACTCAGCCTTCTCGTTAAGCATACAAAGTACAAGGACTTATTACAGTTGAATGAATAAACTGAGAAAAAAAACATTGTAATGTAAAACATAATACAGACCGATCTATATAGAGATTAAAAGATAATGATATTGTGATCAAATTAAATAGCATTGTACTTTATAAAGACCAGACATATTTTGTGCGATTTAATCAAAAATGAGATTAAGATAAAGGTATGAACACCAATTAGTTGTTAGACTGACCCCATGTTAAAGGTACTATGTCCCATTTGCAGGCCAAAAAAATGAAAAAAGTTAAATTCCAACTGCATTTGAAAGATAATACTTATTTAGAACTTCCCTAAAAAAAGGTGGGGCTTGAAAATGTCTTCAAGTGGGAAAATAATGACTATCAGTTGTCAAATCGACTTTAGGGCTATAGAGCCCAAAAGTAATAGTCTTGATTTTCAGACAATTGTACCGAATGGTCATACGTTTTATGCTGCGCAAAGATTCAATCAGTTTAATCTTGGCCATCACAAGAAGTGGGTTATTTATGTAGACAAATGCTCATGCACCCTTTACAACTCTTTTCATGTATGTTATTACCAAAGAAGAAAAAAAGCCAGTCAGTCACTCAATAGTGTCTGACAGTGAAGTCTAGCAAGTAAACGGGTTTCCTTGCATAATTTGAATATGAGGACACTGCTCACGTTTACATTTCACAGATAGGACATACATGACATATTCATAATTCCTGCAAAGTTCTACAGAATTTGAGGTTGGCTGCAAAAGGGACATAGTACCTTTAATACTTATGTTAATGTAAATACCTTGTTAAATAACTCCCCGGATAATCACCCAAGTCAACTACCCCTAGGACAACTACCCCTAGAACAACTTCCCCCTAGGGCAACCACCCTCTAGGACAACTACCACCCGGGACAACTAGCCCCCAGACATCTACCCCTTAGGACAACTACCCCCTATGGCAACTACCCCCGACAACTACCCCTGGACAACTATACCCCCTAGAACAGCTACCATCCGAACAACTAGCTACCTCCCAGACAACTACCCCCTACGACAACCATCCTCTAGGATACTACCCCCGGACAACTATCCAAGGGGGTAGTTATCCTGGGGGTAGTTGTCCGGGGGTAGTTGTTCTTGTGTAGTTGTCCTAGGGGGTAGTTGTTCAGGGGGTAGTTGTCCGGGGTAGTTGTCCGGGTAGTTGTCCTAGGGGGTAGTTGTCCGGGGTAGTTGTCGGGGGGGTAGTTGTCCTAGGGGGTAGTTGTCCGGGGGTAGTTGTCCTAGGGGGTAATTGTCCTAGGGGTGGTTGTCCGGGGGTAGTTGTCCTAGGGGGTAGTTGTCCGGGGGTAGTAGTACCAATACTCTCGTCAGCAACAGAATGACCTTATTTTCACCTGTATCGGGTTACACGGCAAAAGAACTTAAATTCCCATTGCGCCGTGGGAGGCAGACGATTAATTATCCAAAATAACCACTTTAAGTTGAACAATCAGTAAGATGAAAACGATCCAGAGTAAAAACTCCACAAAAAAAAAAAATCGAAATTAAGAAAGAGAGAGAGAGGGAGAGAGCTAGAATCTTGCAAAGTTAAATATACTAAAGACAAAACGCATAATCACAAACAAGGCGGTGTCGGACAGAAAAAATCCCGTGAAAAATCCTTTTAAAGGTACTATGTCCCTTTTGCAGCCAACCTCAAATGCTGTAGAACTTTGCAGGAATTAAATATGTCATGTATGTCCTATCTGTGAATTTAAACGTTAGCAGTGTCCCTCATATTCAAATTATGCAAGGAAACCTGTTTACTTGCTAGACTTCACTGTCAGACACTTGAGTGACTGACTGGGTTTTCTTCTTCTTTGGTAATAACATACATGAAAAAGAGTTGTAAAGGGTACATGAGCATTTGTCTACATCAATAACCCACTTCTTGTGATGGCCAAGATTAAACTGATTGAATCTTTGCGCAGCATAAAACGTATGACCATTCGGTACAATTGTCTGAAAATCAAGACTATTACTTTTGGGCTCTATAGCCCTAAAGTCGATTTGACAACTAATAGTCATTATTTACCCACTTGAAGACATTTTCAAGCCCCACCTTTTTAGGGAAGTTCTAAATTAGTATATCATTCAAATGCAGTTGGAATTTAAAATTTCGTGTTTTGGGCCTGCAAATGGGACATAGTACCTTTAAGGGAGAAGTTTCTTGTTTCGTTTAAGGATTTTTTAAGGGATTTTAAAGGATAATTCAGTGATGACAGACAGGCCAATTATATGGATAACCATGGACGGCGATTTCTTTTCATGACCGGGGGGGGGGGGGACGAAATGCGAGGGACAAGGGAGCAGTGGCGTAATGAGGATTTTTTTTTTTTTTTTTTTTTTGGGGGGGGGGGGCAGAAACAAAGCCGCATCACCACCACTCTTACATGTTACCCCCACAAGTTCAGGGGTTTTAGGCAAGTACGGTCAGATTAGCATAATTATCTTGATACCTTATTTTTGACATGCACTGACATGCAGGTCACTAATTGGAGTGGGTCCAGGGGGCGGAGCCCCCAGGAAGCTTTTAGGCATTGAATTACGATCAGATGAGCATCCAGAGGCCGATTTAGTGCCATTGGTGGGGTCCAGGGACAGAGCCCCCGAAGCTCAGGCATTTTAGGCATTAAATTACGGTCAGATGAGCAACAGGACCCGCCTTAGGGCCTGCCTTAGGACCCTTGGTGGGGTCCAGGGGGCGTGGCCCCCAGAAGCTCAGGGAAAATGCCATTTCAGCAATATTTGTAAATCACTGGTATCGAATTAGAAATAAACCACGTTTGAACTTCTCCAAGCTCCCCCCCCCCCCCCCCCCCCCCATCCATCAATACGCAAGGGTGAGAGAGCATAGTGAATTGGAGGGATGAAGGTGACGGAAGTGACTACCCCTCACAGGTTTTTGAAGTTTTGGTTGTATTAAAAAATTACATTCTTTCGCAAAACTATAGTATAAAAACAGGCAATATACTTTTTTTCACACTTCACTTTTCTAGGTACCTGTACATTTTTAAAGGATATTATGCGAGGGAGCGTACCTACCGAGTGAGAAGATTTTTGCATTTTACATGTCTAAACGCTGCACTCTTGGGCCCTCCAGAGCCTAAAAGTGTGTTGCAGTCTTTAGTCAGTATTTGCTATACATTTTTTTTCTCACTTTTTCAAATTTCGAGGTGGGGACGTGTCCCCCCCCCCCGTCCCCCGGGATCGCCGCCCCTGTGGATAAACTATAATCTGGATAACTATTTTCCAGATAATTGGCCTGTCTGACACCGCCTATTGATTACATTGTGTTTTTAGGTAAAAATATACCAATCATCCAGGCAATATTTAAATGTTATTCTCTCTCAAGGCGCATGTGGTGTACGGTAGACAACTCCTTGTGCCGCCTAGGACCCCATCGAGGACAATGGTGGCGAGTTGTCTGGTTTCTTGAAGGTGAATCTGTGAAGAAGACTGGTAAAACCAAGGAACGTCTCCATCCGGGCAATCTGCTCTCCGATACAAACACGGCGTCCTGAGAAACAAAACAAATGTTGAAAAATTGAGGGGAAAAATGAGGGAGGAACGCCTTAATCTTGAAGTGCTGTCAGGGTTATCAAACAAGGTAAATGAGATCAACTTGTCACGAGTTTAACTTTAAGAAAATTTAGGCCTAATAATTGCCTAGGTGAAATACGGGGTCCTGGCGTACTTATCCGAATGTCAAATGTTGTTAGGTCCAAGATTCTGAGAGCGACAGAGCCAAAAATCCTGACACTATATACAGTGACAATAAACAGTGATTATGTTATAAAAATATAGTTAGTCAGACAAGAAAATGACAAAACATATCGCGGCTCGAAAAAAAAACATGTATTGATGATTTCAAAATTTATCGGAGGTGACTTCACCCCTGAGCCCTCATGACCCCCCCCCCCCCCCCCCCCGCCTTGTAGCCTACACTTGCATTATGACACGAATACAAGCCAAGACACGGTCACAACTGCCCTTGTACCTCTTCGCATCTAGTAATGTTTTATGATGGATTTCGCAGAAAATTTTTGCGTCGGACGCACAGGCATGCATTTCTATCGTAGGCACGAAGAAACGCGCAAGCTTCTACGATAAGGTGTTGGACATAAATTTACGAGGAGGGTGGAAAGCGCCTATACGAGGAATGAGGAAGGACGTGTGTGAATCGCAGGAGTTGGCCCACGACTCGACTGCACTGAGCTGAGGAAAAGTACGTGCAAAAAGACACACGGTGCAGTTGTGACCATAGCTTTAAAAATATCATTATATTAGTCCACATAATTATGGAGAGAAAAAAAAAAACAGTGAGCCTACCAGTACTGAAAATTATCAGATCATCTCTCTTGACCAACGTCCCATCTTCGCTAAGAAACCTCTCAGGTGTGAAGGCATCAGAATCATCCAGAAGTTCTTGTTGTTCAACACATTCCAGATGTTTGAGAAAATGATAGTGTCCTTTGGTATGGTGTAGCCTTTGATTGTGACATCAGCAGCAGCCACGTGGGGCACACCCATTGCACCTACAGCCCCTTTACGCTGGACCTTAACGAAAATACGGACATTAATGGACAATTCTTAATTCATGTAATAAACATAACATCAAAGGCGTTTCATGCCCGTTGGGGTCATTTGTCTGACGTCATAGGACTGGTTCGATCAACCCATGGTGCGGTCATTACTGCACCGTGGGAGGTGGCATCGTACATACAAGGCATTAGGGAATTTTAGATTTGCACGACGAGAACGTGGACTGCTCGTGTGACATCCTTTTAGGCAATGAGATAGTTTACAGATAGCACATGGTACAAATTAATGACCCCAAATATCCACAGATCTTTTACACATGGAGAACTTCCACTTTGAGCATCTTACAATAATAACTGCCAATTAAAGTCCTAGATGTGCTTCATGAATACCTTTTGTTTGCCCTCTTGAAGATAATACTTCCACCTGCGTATCTTAGAATGTTCCGTTGGTGCATAAATGAATAATGTTACATAACTTTCATGAGCGCATATCCTGTATTCATCTCTGGATGGTTTTACCTTTTTGGTGCAAATGACCTTTATCTGCCCATGCGCAGATTGTATCTGTGAACTTTCTTATTGTGACGTCCTTTTAAGGCACTGGTAGTGCCCGGCAGTGCCATAAAAGGATGTCGCATTGCCTTAAAAGCATGTCACACATAGTCCACGTTCTCGTCGTGCAAATCTAAAAGTCCCTATTGACAAGTTGACTGTGCATCCATGGCATCGAATCGCTTGAATGATCGTGGTCTAACTGCATGCCTTCATTGAATTGATCAACGCAGGCTAATGACGCAATCGAAATTATTCCTTCTGTGTATATTTATGTACGGGCATTAGAGGGGCATATCATTGGCATCGCGTTATTTCCTAGTCCGAATAAGCATTGAAAGACATACCTTCGCCGGTAAGCACTATTTTTGTTTTGTAGCCCTCGAAAATGAGGGGACCCATCTCCAAAAAAGGGTAAAATTAACGTGTTTTTACCCTTTTTTCCAGGAGAGGTGGGGGGGGGGGGTGGCCTTGGATGCGCCACTGCCCCCAGGAACTTAAGTTACGTGTGCGACAGACATTATTAGACAATATAGTTTGAAGGTTTACTGGACCAAAGGTAACAGTCCCCAAGACCAGAAGTGGCGATCAGTAGTTGACTTTTTTTTTTCGTGCTGTAGCCGTCCAAATAATCATAAAACATTGCACGCGCCAAGGCCCGCTTGATCATTACTGAAAATGAGAATGTCACAAACGATCCGACTCACCTCCATCAGCACAGCGCACGTGTAAGGGAGATTCTTTCGATCCTGCCACCCCGGCATCCGTTCTCTTCCGACCACCTGATCGAGCTCTGCCTGGACACGTGACTGGACCTCAGGGAAGGCCATCATGTAAATGAAACACCACTTGAGCGTGGTCGTCGTCGTCTCGGTTCCCGCGATGAAGAGGTCACTGATGAGGTATTTCAGGTTCAGTTGATCGAAATACGAAGCTGCTCCCTACATTGAAACAAAGAGATACGTCCTGGACTAAACTCAAGCTAGCTGTTCCAGGGTTTAAAAAAGATGGGTTGTACGACACTTGCTCCTATATATAGTACAATCACTCCGCTACAGTAAGCGAATTCTTTATCCAACCCTTGACCCAACACTAAGCCCAAATATTGCAATATTATTTAGGGTGATTCATACATAACAAGACTATTTAAGACGTATATGTTACAGAAACGTGCAGCTCGCTTAATTACAATATATTTGATCAAACTAAATACATCCATATTTATGTTTAAATTTCTTACTTTACTTTTAACCATCTGTTTTTATTAATACGTTCTAAACAAGTCTTCTATTTAATAAATCGTGTCACCCGAACAGAGAGGTACCCGACCTTTCTTGAATATGGGGGTATGATTTCATATAATGTTCGTGTAACCGACAGCCCGACGCGACGCGACGCGACGTCACGGTGCGGTGGAACGAAGTAAGCCAAATAAAAATGATACAATCACTCTAGACCATGGTGTGGTGTAAATTTCCTTCAATAATTCGGATCTCTTTATCTGTAACTGTAAGCCTCACCTGAGTCTCTTCCAACTTAATCAGATACTGGTCGATGAGATCCTTTGGGTGATCAGGGTCTAGGTCCTTCATGTGGGAATCAAGCTGGGCCTGGCTAAACGCCAATAACCTATCGACAGTGTTCACGAATTGCTTAACGAATCCGAACGGAGTCTTCGAAATGCCTGGTATGGGGAATGAAGAAGGCCCAGCCTCCGGTCCCCGCGAGTCTCGCGATGTTGTTCAACAAGTATAGAACCTGAAAACGAAAGAAGGAGTATAAGCAGGGGTGGTGTTTCCAGCGACGTCACTCGATAAATTGACATAACGCCCGGTTATTTTGTACTCTAAGGGCCGGTCGAGTCAAATTTCGCCAACCGAATTGCAGACTCAGTCCGCCTCTGGCGCTGGGAAATGTCTAGCATACCGAGTCTATCAATGCTACATATTAAACTTGTATTGTGATCATTTTGTTGTAATACCAAGAAAAGTATTTTAACGATGTATCACTTTTTAACGGAATAAAGGAATGGAACAGACTAGTCTGGGGCACACATAGCCTATTATACAACAGGAGATTTCCCCCCATGATTTCCAACATTATTTAGCTCTCTATTGTCCCAATTTTGTTGTGGAAGTAAGATCAAATAACAGTGCCGTTCAACGAAATATATCACACTTTTACATAATCAAATAATCAATGGTAAACTTTGGAGGGGCGAGGTGAGGAATCGATAAAAGACGAAAGATTTCCATTCAACTTAAAAATTGCAAAATGTGATTAACATCAAGGTATTTCCCTTTTCGAAAGGCTTCAGCCCATGATCGATTGCCAAAAAGAGAGAGGTGGCGGGAGAAAGATTGACACGTACTGTCTGTGTCCTTCTCTCCCGTCATGCATTCGGTCCTCGGTGTACACGAGGCGTCATTTACATTGCGCTTTTTAAGGACATTCAGGTAAACATTAGTTTACAGAACAGGACCAAATACGTTTAATAGGCCCTTGGCAGCGTCTCAACAGACCATCATACTAAGGACTTTTAGATTTGCACGACGAGAACGTGGACTGCCATGTGTGACATCCTTTTAAGGCGATGTGACGTCCTTTTAAGGCACTGGCAGTGCCCGGCAGTGCCTTAAAAGCACGTCACATTGCCTTAAAAGGATGTCATACATAGCAGTTCACGTTCACGTCGTGCAAATCCAAAAGTCCCTAATACGTACAAGTTCACCGACATCTATTTAAAACGCGTGCATTGGGCAGAGATGCAACACCTTGACGCTGGAATGCAATGGCGAGGACAAGATTTCTGATCAGTATAACGAAGGTCTGCGTCGAACACATCACTGGATTTATAGGCCTACAAACCAATATGAGTGGTATAACAAGTTGGTTTATTTCAGGGGTATTCGATGTTGATATTAATTTGGTTTTAATAGAAGCAGAAAAATGAGAGAAAAGGCGAAAGTTTGAACAAAAACCAACTAAAAATAAGAAAGTGATACAGTCATGAAGGTGCGATTAATCAAAAAACATATAGCAACTAGGTGACGGTGACGTATCTAGCCAGGTGCTTTCCCATTTGCCCTGTACAAATAATAATAATAATAATAATAATTTTCAATCATGGATTTACCCTAATATAATTATCGGAAATATGTTTTATGCAACCCCCGTAAGAAACAAATCTATTCCGTCATCAATAATTTAAAAAATGAAACTTTATGAAATTTGATGTATTGAACTAATTTAACAGGACCTCGCAAAAACGTCACAGCTTTGCAAATTTGTTCACCTCTGATGCAAACTTCAAAAATTCATATATCTTCCTATTTTCAATCGGATATTGTTCAAACGTCCACTAATTTATTTCTCAAATTTTATCTGCTTTTGACAAAACCTACTTAATATCATGGTGGACTTCCTCATACCAAATATCCTTATCTGATTTTCTTTCCTCTTTCCTGATTTTAGCTAGGTGTCATTTCAATTTATCCAGATCAATTTGAGTGACTATGTGCGAGTAATGCAATGCAATGTTTTCCCTGCTTATTGTTGTTGTTGTTATTGAGATTAACGGCGTTTCCAAAGAGCGTCAGAGAGCGCGCCAGTCTCTGACGCACATATATACCAGCAAAATAACGCCTTGTGTGCAACAACGGGCATATAATGCTTTCAAAGTAGAGACCATACATGCTGAAAATCTGTATCGCTGTACTGGTACTGCGTTCCGAAGACAATCGAACAGATGACGTTGGCAACGGCTTGCTCGAAGAGGACATTTGGGTTGAAGGCAGTTCCTTTCTTTTCCTCGATGGCGCCCCCAAGCTGGGCCATCTCTGCTGCTATGGTGTCTTCGTAGCTCTTCTTGCCAACCCCGAGACTGCGAAAGACAGAGAAGGTAAACTTGCGATGTTCCTTCCACGAATCTCCAACACCAAGAATCAGACCTACAATCGTTATTGGATCAGAAAATAGAATCCCTGTACCTTTAGCATCATACTATGTGAATCGTGTCGCAATTGCGTGAAAACGGCTGATAGCAGGAAGACTCCCCAGGGAGAGGAGATGTTGCAAATTCATGCATGAATGAATTCGATGACTGGGGTAATAATGCAAATAATTTAAATTTGATTTACGCCTTTGTGTTCCTATTTGGTCGAGAATATAAATGACATTGTAACCATACAAGAATGAATCCCTATTTGCATATTCTTCAAATATCTGATTCAGTTTTTCTGTTTCATAATAAGTCACGATGGACAACGTGGAAGATGCACAGACGCCGAATCAACTCAAAAACGAAACGCAGGGCCAGTCTTATTATGCCATATATAGGTACATTTTTCATAAGTCTGTGCTATCATGCTAATCAAACTTTCGTCTTCAATAAAAATGGTTAAATCAAATTGAAGACTACCAAACTATTTGGAATACGGGCAGTTAAGGGCGAAATCCTGGGATCCGTTTTACAAAGCCTTTTTTCAATGACAAATGACAAAAATCAGTGACAAATCTGTTGATAACCAATCAGAAGCAAGAATTTCAGTAGCTTATAACAAAAAAACTGTCATTTGTCACTGATGACAAGTTTTGTGAAACACCCTCAGATCTTACCAAGTTGTCCCACTCCAGACATTTCAGTCAGCATTTGGCTATGTGGTCGGCTCTGCAGATCAGGATGGCGGAATGCTTCCGAGATTACCTCATAGAGTTCAAGTGCACCACTAACTTGGGGCCAGCACGGAAAGAAGTTATATCTCCGTACTTGTCCGCCCATGACGAGAAGAGGGCAAGGAGGTCCGACCGGCTTCTGCAAAAAAAGGATGATGACATGGATGTTGATGACGCTGACGATGATGTAATAGATTATGATGATGATAATGGTAATAAGGGTGTTGGTGATAATTATATGTTGGTGGTAATGATCAGTGAATTGATAGTAGTACTCACATATTAGACATACGGGGATGTGCTGCTCTAATGGATCACTTTTTCACAAACAATACCTAAATATGGGTCCCAATTTGAACAAAAATATAACTAAACATGGGTCCGTTTTTTCAAAGTTTCCACAATTTTGTAAAATGGGCCTTTATTTATAGAAAATGGCCTGTAAAATGAGTAGGAGTTTCGAGGCTTGACACACCCCCGTCCAAACCAAATCTGATTACCCCCCCCCCCCCCCACCCCCTTCCTGGTGTGACGCAGTCCTACTCCAGATGAATAGGGACTTTTTAGATTTGCACGACGAGAACGTGGATCTAGCTGCCACGTGTGACATCCTTTTAAGGCAATGTGACGTCCTTTTAAGGCACTGCCGGGCACTGCCAGTGCCTTAAAAGGACGTCACAACGTTCTCTTCGAGCAAATCTAAAATTCCCTAATGACGCTTCGTGTGCAACGGGCATTAGAGAGTAAAAAGCATTACCTTATGAGTTTGAAAGCAACGCGAGCAGAGGTATTCCCGTCGGCCCGGGGGAAGGTTCTTAGGTCGAGTCATCAGGTGTTTCACAATCACACAGCCACTAGACCAACTAAAGCCGTTACCAATAAATGGTAAATTGTCATCTGATTCAAATCCATGATGATAGTTTAATTACCGGCTCTCTAATAAAAAAGGAACAACAAAATGATTAAATTAATACTTTGAACATTGACAACGTAGGATTAACCATCATTTTTGTTAAATCATTATCATTGTAGACCTATTGCGTTCACGAGTAAAACGTCGGTAAATTAGCACAAAGCATGACAGGAAAGTCCTAAGTTTGAATATGATTTAGTGCGCCACTTATAATCTTGATAATATGCCCGTTCCATAATTATGTAGGCAACATTATTATTCTTACGACAACAGCAAAGGGAAAGATATGCAAAACATGGCTACATTACATTTAATTGTTTTTACACTAAAAAAAAAAGTACAATCCACTAACACATGAATAAAGAATAGTATCACAAAGCGTTTATTTAAAAATAAATATACCTCGACCTCCAGAGAGGAATCACTAAGAACTTTTAGATTCGCACGAAGACAATGGGGATTGCTACGCTCGATGTCCTTTTAATGCACTGCCTTGAATGGACGTCACATGTATCAGTCCACGAAAATCAAAAGTCCCTATTGTGGGGCTTCGACGCCCTAAACTTTTTGTTTGATGCCGCCTCTTAACCATTGCATACTGGATCCTAGTGTTCACTGTATTAAGCCTATTGGAATGAGAAAATTCAGTAATCAACAGGTTAAAACCCGCGGTCTTGTGAAAAACGGCTGAAACCAGCACGAACCTGTGCCTCTTAGGATTCATATCTCGACAAATCCTGTATTTGGGGCAGAGATCTTTCTCTTTCTCAGTTTTTCTCCTTTTATCTCATTAATTAGAAGTAGTCTGGCGGTGCTAGGGTATTGGATATTAATTGTTCCTTAAAGGGACTTAGTAAAATTATTCAGATGAGAGCAAATGCTGAGAATTAGGTAGTGACTTCAATGCTAGATGTAAAATTAAAGGTAATCTGAAAGTTTGATTGAAAACGGACCATCATTAACGATACAATGGAAAAAAATGATCTGGGGGGCGTTTCACAAAACTTGTCATCAGTGACCAATGACAGTTTTTGTTATAAGCTACTGAAAACCTTGCTTCTGATTGGTTATCAGCAGATTTCTCACTGATTTTTGTCGTTTGTCATTGAAAAAAGGCTTTGTGAAACGGGTCCCTGATCGATTCCTTCATTCTCCCAACTATATTATAACAATTTAATTACATTTAAGTGAATGTAAATCGTCACAAAGCAATGAATTGCTCTATTTTGCCTGATAGAGGGTAATTATAAGCACAGTAGAAGAAATATAATAAGTAACATTTCATACAAAAAGATACATTTTTCATCAACCTTCAACAATGTTACAGAGTCACTTTAAATGTATTTACACAATAACACTACCGGGGCTATGGTGAATTATGTATTCCTGGAAAAATTTCCTGGGGAAATCCGCAAGTACTTTTTGTATAGCTATTCTGTATAACTAAATATATTTGTGGGTTTCCGTGACAAAATCTCTTCCAAATTCTGACCACTGTTGTCCCTCTGACGGTCGGTAATGAAAATACAGTGCGTATCAAAAGAGTGTATACCAAACTTTGGTAACTTCGGATTACATAGTTATAATTTAAGGGTAACTTATACCCTGTGTATACCATATTCATAATTGTGCTGAAACGGATGAGTGTGCAGCAGCTTTTCAAACATTAATTGAAATCATTTCGCTTTTTCATCCAAAGTCCTCGACGATGATCGCACATATGCTCGAGGAGGAAGAGCAAAAGAAAATTATGTGTAAGCAACAAACGAAGGATCAAAACTTAGCCTATGCCACTACAACTTCCGGTACAACTTTCTGAAAGCAGCATGAAATTTGCTTTAAGTAGGCGCCTTCCAGGGGGGTAGGAAATTTTCCATAAAAAACTAAAAAGGCTGGAATACATTGAGAAGTGCGAGTATAGATCAATAGGGACTTTTAGATTTGCACAACGACAACGTGGATTGCTATGATCGACGTCCTTTTAATGCACTGCCTTGAATGGACGTCACACGTTTCAGTCCCCGCAAATCTAAAAGTCCCTAATATCACACTCTGATCCCCCTTCCATCCACCTTCACCCCTTCCCCAACTTTTGGGAAAAGAGTCCTGGATCCGCCACTGTATTATCAGTGAATGTGCATGTATTCCGCAATTCAACATATTCAACAATACAAACAGTGTTGCATAATTATAATCAGCAAATGAAGAATCCACTGCACTCTGCAAACATTATAGGCCTATATATACCTTACAATATTACAGAAATCTATAATGCCATATTATGCGGATTGTAATCATTCGGTAATTATGATGTCAGAAAAAGACCGGATTAATAAAAAAATATATTTACCTTGCTCAGATCTAGACCCTGTGCTTTGACGACTTAACAGTTTGTGCCTGCAACATTTATTAGTACGATGGTTATTGTACGGTGGTAAACATGCAGGTACTCAACATGATACTGTACAGTGGTTATAACAATAGTAAGCCTTCAATCGGGGGAAAAACAAATCTAGACAGAAGAGAAGGCAAAGAGCCATAAAAAAGACGGTAAGCCGAGCGTCGAAAAGGCCTCCCCCCCCCCCCCACCATTCAGTATTATTTAGGGTGCGCATATGCACGTTCCCTAAGATCCCTTTGAAAGCACCCCCCCCCCCCCCCCCCCCCCCCCCTCACACTAGCTCCCTAATTAGTCCGGTGTGTAAAGTCAATAAGGCCCGATTTTGTGTGTGTATTACGAGCATGCAGACTTTGTTGCGTGGAAAGTACCCCTTTACCGGAGATTTTGGGAACATGAATGCGGTCCTTCCGTTCCCGGAGTGGGGGGGGGGGGGGGGGGGGGGGGGGGGGGGGGGGGAGATAACAAAGTTTTTTAAAAATCACAGGGTAAAGAAGGTTACAAAGAAATAAATATGGAATGAGATACCAAAATGAGCAACGTGAAAAAGCCCTTCACATGACTTCACGTCACGGTCTCAAGAAATCGAAATGGTTTACAAAATGAGGCCGGGAGCATCGTGCGAAGACCGTCACAGTCGACAACATGAACATATAAGATAACAAAATAAAATAATAAAAGTCTTGTGCAAGTTCTGGTGAGGAGCTGAAACACGTTCATGTGCTTTTTGTTATAAATAAAAACGAATACTTTCAAGTCGTTATTGACATCTATGACAACATACTACAACGTGCGTATACAGGTTGTTGGTTCTCATTATATTTGTGTTATTAAATGTGCCCCCTACAACCTCCGGCTATACTGCCTTTCATCGTGGTGGTAGAAATAGGGTATACCTGTTACTACACAAAGCTTCTCCGAATGTCTTATGACCCAAAAGGACACACTTTGAAAGCGACAATGGGTTATACAGGTAAAAGTTTAAGGGGCACTTATGAAAGGGCAGTTATATAGAAAGGAAAATTGACACTCAAAATTAGCAAGGGGACAGGCCTGATAAAATCCCGATTTAAATCGGTTTCCCGATTTTTTTTATTTTTCCCGATTTTTCCCGATTTTTTTTTTCTTTCCCGATTTTAAAAAAAAAAAATTCTCTTTTTTTTCTTCTTTTTTTTGTTTTTATATAATTTTTTTTTCTTCTCTATTTTATCCTGATTTTCTCGATTTCCCTATTATTTACTCTATTCTTCCCTATTTTTGCCTATTTTCCCCCCAATTTTGTCCCAATTATCTTACTCGAAAGGGGGGAATGTAGTTAGATGCCATTTTCCCCGCGAATCCTCTTTTTTTTTTACTCAAGGGGGCGTGGTTTAGGGAAAACAAAAAATATTTTTTTTTTTAGAGCTCACTTATCATATGGAAAGGTGCATTTATGAAATAGGAAAAGGGGGTAGGCCTATAATGTCAAAGTAAAAAGGACCGACATTAGATTTGGATAGCCCTAATTATCAGAGGTGAAAATTAAGGAGCAATTGTGCAAAGGAGAAGGCAGTTGTCAAAGAAAAGGGACACCTTAATAGTTTTGAAAAGGGGCACTTAATTATCAGAGATGGAAAGTACACTTGAGAATTAGGGGTAAGGGACATTTATTAGAAAGAAAAAAGGGTACTTATCGGAAGTCAAAAAAGGGAGGGGGGGGGGGGGCTTTTCTTATGCAAAAGGGGGGGCAGTTTTGGGGTAATTGGAAAAGTGTAGGGTCCCTTGCCCCCCCCCCCCCTCCCCAGAGCCTCTGCACATACACATAATGTATACCAGCTGATGGTTTTAGACAAATTTATAGCACACTTTCCTCATCCGTCTGTCTTTTGTGCAGTACATGTATGTTTTTATTTTTAAATTATTACAATCTCTAAGTCTATGAACGGTCTCTAACCTTCTACATATCTCCCTCTCTGTACGCTCTCTAACAGCATCTCTCGTCCCTTTTCCTCATCTGAAATTTCTCTTAAAGGGAAAGTCCACCCCCAAATAAGTTTGTTTTCGATAGAGGCAGAATAATAAGAAAATCAGGTGAGTGAAAGTTTGAGCAAATTCTGAATGAAAATAAGAAAGTTATGAATTATTGAAGTTGTGATCAATCAAATACAAATTGGCAACTCTGTGACTTATTATACGAGCTCTCCTCATTTGCTTTGTGCATAATATTCCATAAAATCATGTTTTCTTCGTTATTGATGACGGAATATATATTTGTTCCTTGCAGGGGGAGTATAGAAACATATTTGCAATTATTATATTTAGGGTGCATGTATGGTTGAAATTTTTCTTGAGGAAAATGAAAATTTTAGATTTTTTAGTACTGAGCAAATGGAAGTTGAGCTCGCATGATACGTCATAGAGTTGCCAATTTGTGTTTGATTGATCACAACTTCAAAAATCCTAACTTCCTTATTTTTAATCGGAATTTGCTCAAACTTTCACTTCTTGTTTCTCTCATTTTTCTACTCCTATTAAAACTAACTTAATTTCAGGGTGGACTTTCCTTTAAGGTTTTTCCCACATTCTCTATTTCACCAAAGACTACAATGTTCACACATCCTTTTCAAGATTGTTTAAGGGGCAGTCTCTTCCAAGAAAGTAAGAAGACAAAACAACACACACACCAGGTAGTGAACTGCTTTTGTCATTGAAAATTCAGACAAAAGTACATTAATTCAAGTATAATACCTCACACAGGAAATTCATCAAAAGTTATTTCATTTATTCGATATAGTTATCTCATGTCATATACAATATACACAAAATATAATGTCCCAACTTTCCCCATACACAGAAAATAAAGTATATAAAGCCATACATATATACACAATTTGCTATTTCCAGTATAAAATATACGATGCATGCAAATTTGCATGCAAGTTGACAAAATAAATGTATGTATGGTCCAGCCACAAGTTTTGCGATTTCATCAAATTTAGAATCAAGCGGAATATTATTACTGGCTGAATTTTCAAGTCAAAATGATTTTGTCATGATCTGTAACAACATAATATTGAGGGACTATAAATCTATGATACTGCATATAACTCAGTTAAAAGAGGCAGACAATTGACATTATAGGTAGTTGAACCTTATTCATTGCCAGATTAATCTCCAGTAGTCTTTAAAACATTTGTATTTGAGACTTCTAAAATATTGTTTTATCATTGGTACTACATCTAGACATACAAATTTGTATTACCCCTCATATGCATGGGTGTCGATCCGGGGGGGATGGGGGGGATATATCCCCCCCAATATTTCAGTGGGGGGGATGGCCTGTACAATCATCCCCCCAATAATTCACCATCAAAAAATCAAAAAAAAATGAAGAGAAAAATTAAGGATGAGAGCCCGATGAGAGTAGTTAATGGTTATTACTCGCAAGATGACCATCAATATACACATTTTGCTATCTCATTTTCATAATACATACATACATGTATATACGAAGTAAATAAGGCAACCGTAAATGAGACAAGAATAAATTGAATTCTCGCTATCATATGGCTTCATCAGGAATTGATGTATTTATTCAATTTGTTCAATCAAGTACACGATACAATGAAGCGTCTTCTTTTACGAATAATTTAATGAAACGTAAAAGCTTCCGCGGAATGGGCGAAAAGGAATACAGACGAGGATTAAGAGTAATAATTTATTGAAACGTTAAAGCTTCCGCGCTTCGCGCGGTAGGGGAGAAACTGAGTTCATGAAGGACACGATACAACAAATCATTTTCTTTCACTAATGTGAAAGCTTCCGCGCTTCGTGCAGGAATGGGCGAAAATGAATTCAGACAAGGATTAAGAGACGAGAATGGTACACAGGATCGTCTTCTTTCTTTAATCATCTAATGAAAACACCAGAGCTTCCGCGCTACGCGCGGGGAAGGAGGAATTTGATTTAAACATTAAAGATTAAGATTCGAGAATGGTACATCGAATCGTCATCTTTCTTTAATAATCTGTCGATGAAACGTCAGAGCTTCCGCGCTTTGCGCGGAGAAAGGAGATCTTGATTCAAACAAGGATTTAGAGTCGAGAACGGTCCAACGAATCGTCTTCTTTCTCTTATAATTTAGTGAAACGTCAAAGCTTCCGCGTTTCGCGTGGTAGGGGAGAAACTGAATTCATGAAGGACACGATACAACAAATCGTCTTCTTTCTCCAATGTGAAAGCTTCCGCGCTTCGCGCAGGAATGGCGAAAATGAATTCAGACAAGGATTAAGAGACGAGAATGGTACATCGAATCGTCTTCTGTCTTTAATAATCTAATGACACGCCAGAGCTTCCGCGCTACGCGCGAGGAAGGGGAACTTGATTCAAACAAGGATTAAGAGTCGAGAACGGTCCAACGAATCATCTTCTTTCTCTAATAATTTAGTGAAACGCCAAAGCTTCCGCACTTCTGGGGGGGGGGGGAACTCCCCCTCCCTGCACGCAACCCCCTAGGGACCACGCTTCGCGTGCTCACTACCGCCCCCTGAAATGAAATCCTGGCTACGGCTTGGGAGGGGTGCAACTTGCCACACGCTTCTACCTCTTGATTGCTTTGATCCATTGCCGAAAATATTTTGGCACCTATCATCCCCCCCAACCACGGATACAAATCGACACCCTTGCTCATATGTCACTAACAAAATATATCATGTTCTTTCTATAAACCATAAGCTATAATTGTATTATCTCTACAAATCTATCCTGTAGCCGACAATATAATCCCAATGTCAACAAACACACACTCGTTTCTGATCCCTAATTTGATTTCGCTGATCCCATAACTTGTCAGAGGGCCCCTGTCCTCAGTATGAGTCATTTTGGTAGCAAACAACAGATGCAGAGAGCAAATTGGTAGCAGAACATGTCCTTGTACACCCAGGGCACAAATGCAATTCCCTCTCCAATCCCCCTCTCCTCCTCCCCCTCTCCCCCCCCCCCTCCCCCCCCCTCCCCCCCCCCCCTCTTCCCCCACCAAAAAAAAAAAAAATAAATAAATATTATATTCGCTATGGATTGAATTCCAACACTGGCACCTTATTTTGAAGTATGTTTTACATGCACTGTCCGTGTGACAAAAAGACAACTTTGGCGGCTCGCTGTTTGTTTCTTCTGTCTACGAAAGCAGATAAAATTAAAGAATGGTCAACACTTTGGAATGTTTTTTCTCTTTCTCAACATGGCATCTATTGTCTGACTTCACATCCGTTTGTGCCATTCTGCTGGGCACATGACCATGTACAACTCTGTAATTCACTTGATTCTGCGTGTTGATGAAAGTAAGCTAGGTAGATGGCAATATATATATCTGTGTATCAGGAATTGCTGAAAGTAGGGTTGAAGACTTTGTACAATATTAATATTTTTGTCACAATTCCAGCACCATAGAAGCCCATTATATTAACTGTACAAGTTATGCCAAAGAGACTTTGCAACATGAAGATAAAGCATAAATATAAAAACAAGACAGATGTGACTGCCTCTCCAATATGCCTCTGCCCAAGTTCAGTGAAGATCATGGCTTGAATCATCATTAAAATCACGATGAGAACAAAAAGCCTTCACTTACATAACCCTTGACCTTACAACCTTTGACCTCACAACCCCCAAATATGATCACCTGTGATGTGTAACAGTTACAGGTTCACAGCTCAAATAGATTATATTTGTTATTGATATGGTCACAACAAGGTTAAAGAGAGCAAACGTTGTCAAGCGTTGTTTCGCCTGCCTCTTGCGATGTGAGTGTCAGTGAGAACACAACATGTATATGAAAATTATGACATTTCAGGTTTTCAGAATGTGTATTTCGGTTCCGGCAGTTTACACTAAGCAATAATGGTAAAGTTGCATGAACTTTGTCCCTTGAGAATGAGAGAACACTGCTTGGGAATGCTGGTAATACTATCTCAGTTTACCATAATCATCAAGTGTGGAAACCAATGTTACAAATAAATAAATAAAGGCACAAAATAAACAAATTAAACTGAACGCAGTTAAGAATGATGCCTCCGCCTCCGAGTACAACATCCCTCATGTGCGACGTTTCTCATCTGACATGACCTCATGACCCCAAATCCTCTTGAGATTGTTCGTCCCTCAAAACATACCAAGAGGTTTGACTTGGATCATCTTTGAGAATGTATTCCCTAAGATAGCTTTGAGCCTTTGATCTCATCATCAAAGTTATAGTAATGTTTTGCATATAATTAGCCTACTGTACTTTTCATGGAAAGTTCATTGACCTTTCAATATTCAACCCGGGTCAGAATTCACCAATTCTGAACTGCGCCTTCAAGAGAAGTACCTGTGGTTTGAACTTGGTGATCCTACCTCAATGCTACAGAATACTATTGTGTGAACAGAGCTTTTTCATGGACAGTTCATTGACCTTTTGACCTGTGACCTTGGTCAAATTTTATCCATTTTCAAACTTGAACTGTGAGTTCAAGAGATGTACCTGTGGATTGAATTCCTACCTCAATGCAATAGAAAGTTACTATTACTGAGGTTAAAACTGGTAATTTCATAAAAATGACCTTTGACCTAAGAGACAGCAGGTCGGACATCCCCGAAACCATTTTGTCTCCAGCACCACATTAAGTAGGCAGAGGCATACAAATGTAATACAAATCTCTTCACAATACATGAAAGAAGGAGAAAGGCCAATCTATGATAACAAAAAGTTTACCAAAATTCCTTAGGATACTCAAACATATAAAAAAATAATTTCAGATTTGTTTCATATGCTCAATATTTAGAAGAAAAAGTATTTACACTTTGATACAATAGGAAATTCACACAAATATAATACATGTTAGAATGTTTAAAGCCTTCCTATATATAACATATTTATCTCTGCCCTGCATAATTTGGCTCGTAGAAAGGAAACGCTTCTTCATTTTGTTATCTAATAAAATATAATCTGTAAAAGCAGTTCATGGTAACAAAAGGCCTGCTTTCATCAGCTCAAGTTTGCCAAATAACCCGCTATTTTCAGACTTTGGATATTATCCCGAAGCTCGAAATTGCGTCTTCACCAGACCAATACGCTGATCACAAAATAGCTTGGACGGACGCAAATTACCCCACTATTTCCCAAATAGCGGGATAATTTCTCAGGATATTTTCATCGCCAAATATCCCGCTAATTGCAACTGAGAGCTGATGAAGACGCAAATTAACTGACTAATTTGCGATTCGGGATAGTTAAAATAGCGGGCTATTCGGGAAACTCGAGCTGATGAAAACAGACCTAAAGGCTAAAAAATTAGGCTACCGGTAGTCCATTCATCAAAAAAGAGCAATACTCAATGATGAATGCACGAGTGATTTATTGTCAAGATTCTGTTCATGCATGATCGATCAAAGCTTGACTATAAGGCACTTAGTCTAATTCCTTTTGCTTTGGCAAACTGTACCAATTAACAAAAGTGGTTGATTCTTTGTCATTTCTCTTATACGAATGACAGCTCGAAGAAACAAATACAAATGTAAGACACATGTTTCTTTAAAAATACCAAAGGCAGTATTCATCAATGAAAGTAGCTTTCCATCACACAAGTTGTCTCTCATCAGTTTAAGAGATGGATAGAGGAGGCGAGTCGGCTCAGTCGTTAAAGCGTCTGCCTGTCCTACCAAAGATCTTGGGTTCGAATCCAACCCAGATGGATGACTGAAGCCTGCGTTGTGTGTTAACGTACCCCTCCCCTTGTTTCATAGACGCAGGCTACCATATGTTAAGTAGAAAACACTCCGTCCCTCAGATAGGATGTTAAATGGAGGCCCCATGTAGAGGAGAGTCCCCAGAGAGAACCCACTGCACTATTTGTATATTAAAGAGTAGGGAAACCCTGGTGTAGTGGTCCACCTGTACACCCCCAATCATTTATAACAGGAGGAGACACCCGAGGGTTACAGTGATTCAGTTCGCTTTTCGCCTCCCAGGCACAGGTGACGCCAAATAATGCCAAATAAGGCACTTGTTCCATTAACTACATGGGGCAGTACTCATCAATAGAAGCAATGAGTTGCGATTGTCCATTTCTATTTCTACTCGATCCGTCAATGAGTTGTAATTAAAAGGATTCTATTTGAAACACAAAGAAAACACTTGAATGTACATAAGGCACAAGCTACTGAGATCTATACCAATCCATGATATCATTAATTGGTTAATCCCTCTCCCCATGGGTAGGAATCATAAATGTAAGCTTTGAAGCATTGAAATGTCACATTCTGTCCATCCCATGTAGATGAACTCTTGGAAGGCTCTATCGGTATTCCATTTGACTATTGCGGTCCATATTCATCGATGAAAGCGTTGAGTTGCTTTAGAAGCTGCTTGTTGCGTTCATCTGTCGCTCTCCTTGCACTTTCCTGATTGTAGGAAGAAAGAAAAGATTAAAGATTCAATAGAATAATCATTACTGATTATATACTTGTAATGATTGAAAAAGAGTACTGTAGGCAGTTTTGAAGTATTACCGGGGTGTGTTTCACAAAGACTAAGATCGACTTTAAGTTGAACTTAACTATGGCAGGCCATTCATGCCACTGGTTGCTCTCACCATTATGATCTTTAGATAATTTTTTTCCTTCGATAATGTATTATTGAACTAGATGGAATTTTGACTGCGCGCAGTCGAAAATGATGCCTCCGCCATAGAGCAATTTAAACAAGTTTGGAGTTTAAATCTCCAGTGGTTCTTGAGATATCATGATAACAATCTCAATGTATGGAATTTCATAAGTTGACCTCTGTGACCCTTGACCTTTGACCTACGTGCTCCAAAATCTAATCAGATTGTCTTCCTATGGTGATACACACTATCATTAAGTTTGAAGTTTAAATCTCCAGTGGTTCTTGAGATATTATGATATGGTGATACATACTATCATTAAGTTTGAAGTGAAAATTCTCCAGTGGTTCTTAAGATATCGCGATAACGATCTCAATGTATGGAATTTCATAAGTTGACCTCTGTGACCCTTGACCTTTGACCTACATGCTCCAAAATCTACTCAGATTGTCTTCCTATGGTGATACACACTATCATTAAGTTTGAAGTTTAAATCTCCAGTGGTTCTTGAGATATTATGATAACAATCTCAATGTATGGAATTTCATAAGTTGACCTCTGTGACCCTTGACCTTTGACCTACGTGCTCCAAAATCTAATCAGATCGTCTTCCTATGGTGATACATACTATCCTTAAGTTTGAAGTTTTTACATCTCCAGTGGTTCTTGAGATATCATGATAACAATCTCAATGTATGGAATTTCATAAGTTGACCTCTATGACCCTTGACCTTTGACCTACGTGCTCCAAAATGTAATCAGATTGTTTTCCTATAGTGATACACACTATCACTAAGTTTGAAGTTTAAATCTCCAGTGGTTCTTGATATATCATGATAACAATATCAATGTATGGAATTTCATAAGTTGACCTTTGTGACCCTTGACCTTTGACATACGTGCTCCAAAATCTAATCAGATCGTCTTCCTATGGTGATACATACTATCCTTAAGTTTGAAGTTTAAATCTCAAATGGTTCTTGAGATATCGCGCTAACAAACTCAATACAAGGAATTTCATAAGTTGACCTCTGTGACCTGTGACCTTTGACCTACGTACTCCAAATTCTAATCAGATCGTCTTCCTATGGTGATAAATACTATTCCCGAGTCTTAAGTTTAAATCTTAAATGGTTCTTGAGATATTGTGATAACGGTCAAACGGGACGGACGTACGGACGGACGGACGTACGGACGTACGGACGGACAACCCGAAAACATGATGCCTCCGGCACCACCTTCGGTGGCGGAGGCATAAAAATGTAAATTCTGTAGATTTGTGACCATGATTTCTTTACGTTCATTGAGAGACCAATGCCAGTAAATGGTAGTAACAAACAATGGCATGAGCGGCCTGCCATAGTTCAGTCCAAATTCAATCTTAGTCTTTGTGAAATGCCCCCCCCCCCCCCCGAGCTGATACACAGCTAGTGTATCTGAGCCTTTTACTAATACATGATTGTCAAAGAAGAAGAAGTTTGAGGCCACAGAAGAAATCACTCTCAGAAACATAAAACATTTAAAAACACTTAGAAAAATACACAGTACATTATTTCAGATTGTCTGCAGCATGAGTATAGAGTTAATAATTTTAATTTAAAGAACGCAGGAGGGACAACTCAAAAACACAATGCCTCTGGCACAAAATCGAGAAAGAACAGAGAAAAGGATGAGCAAATGAAAACAATAGCACTATACCCTTGCATCCCAATCAGTGGTCTTGTAAATTACCACATTATTTTCTGTTTATTAACGATGACCCGACCTCTCATGTCAGTGCCCCCTCGAGGATGGGATTCATGCATGCTACACTCCTGCACATTTCACCATGACACAGGAATGCTCCCCAGGGAGTGGAGAATGCGCATACATTGTGTGCGGGTAAGCCTGAATCCGATGACCGGGGTAATAATATATATCTGTAAAGCGCTTTGAGAGGGCCTGCGGTCCTGAAAAAAAGCGCTATATAAGAATGAACTATTATTAATATTATTACATGGTACTCACAGAATTATCATATTGTATCTGCATGCCCTCGTACTTGATTTTCCACTTCCTCAGCTTCATTTCATACTCTTCCTTCTGCTTGCTGAGTTCCTGCTTTAGCGCCCTCACTTGTTCCTAAAGGGACAGTCATGGAAAGTAGGGGAAGGGAAAAATAATATTATGGTATTCAAATTTTTGTTCCACACTTTAATTCAATAATCACTATCATGTGAATCTACATGTATTAAAGAATGAAAATACAGTTTATAACATATATCTTTGATTATGTTGATGAACTGGGAAACAAAACCTATTTTAATGCTGCTTATAAGTATCGGATTGCATGGTGATGTATATATATACAGTAGGCTTACGGTGGCACCATATGAGAGAGAGAGGGGGAGGATTGGGGAGTCCTGAAAAGGACTGTCGGTAATCTTTCTTTACAGTCCATGGTGCAACCGGAAGCCTATTGTATAACACCTATTTTGTCCCTCTAAACTTTGAGTGCGACACAAGAGTTATACAGTATCAATTGCAACTTGCAAATAAATGAACCACCCGTTGTATTAAAACAGGGTTCACAGTATTGAGCATCAATTAAACAAACAAAAAATTACTCAGAAATATGAACGTTCCCTCATAACAAACCACATACAAAATAACTATATTTCGAAAAGGAAAATAATATGAATGTTTGGAGGAGACATTTCACTCACAACTTTGGACTAACTTAACAATCTTTTCATCAGATCATTACAAGATTGGTTTATTGTATTAAAATACTTTAATCCCAGATGGACTATCTTTGAAAACAAATCCAAATTCTCAAAATGTTAAAAAAGCTGGAAAGAGAAAGCCAAGAGGATATTTAAACCAAATGTCTTCAAGGAATGATTCACTGCTATGACTCAAGATACCCAAGCCACAAACTACACCATACTCTTAAAGGGAAATCCTACCCAGATAGACAACTACTCTATTAGAAAGAAAGCAAACAAATAAGAGAAGCAAACTGATGAAAGTTTCAATAAAATCTGTCTAAACGTAAGAAAATTATTAATTTTGGAAAGTTTTAATCGTATTGGCACTTCAAATTGGCTGAAGCGGTAATGCCAATGTGATGTAGTGCCGGACTTCTTTCCCCATCTGTTCCAAAATATAAAATGACTAAAACTTAAACTTTTCAAAAGATTATGGTTCAGGAGGGTCTATTCTATTCTTTTTAGAGGACCTATAATAATATGCGATCTATAATATATTTTGAGTAGTGCCCCAAAGGAGAAGAAACTTACGAGAAAAACAGATATTAGTGATATTTTTGTGCACGACAAATGGAAGAGTTATCCACGTCCTACGTCACAATCCACTGATCAAACTACCATTTGAGATTCGCATAGACTTGGTGATCTCATAGTTCAAACATTCACAACTTCCTAACTATTGGTCTGATTCATTTCAAACTTTTGCCATTCTGTTTCAGTTATTTTTATGCTTCCACACAAATCAACTTATTACAAGGGTTGGATTGCCCTTTAACTTCAAGTCACTTATTTTGGGGACAGGAACTGTCTACAAAACACTAGATAAGAGGGAAAAAATGAGGAGGGGGGCAAGAAGAGATGTAATTTAGCTGGGGATTTTGTTTTGCTGCATGTCATCAATCTTAGTTTATTTGTTCATCCTTTCTTTATCATTTTTTTTATTTTTATATATCCCTCTTATTGAACTTTCCTTTTGTAAAAAAAAGAAGAAATTATATCTACCCTGGTTACAATTTTGGGGAGGGTGGGATAGGGAATTAGAGATTAAAACAGTGATTTCCTATTGAAATCTATTTATGCGGATGGTCATATCTCAGCCAATACTTAACATATTCAATTGATTTTCAACATTTGGACATTAATTTTGATGCTCTTTTGGAAAATGAAGTTCAAATTTGGAAACTCTAAAAATAGTTTTTTTGATAACGTCACACTTGACCCCTCTATTTTGAGTGGTATTGTACATGTACATTTTGATAGTCGAGGCAAGAACATGTGGTATTTCCCACACAAAACTGGGGATGTGACAGAATATTCAATATGACACAGTTCGGTACTGAAGGGTTGAAGCAAGAAAACAACATCACCAGACCCTTAGTGCTGTTCACCAAGAAATATTATCAAACAGAACCAAATTTTGTACCGAGTCATTGTACACAAAGAGTGATGTAACTTTCAAAGCATAACAAGATCTAAAAGGCTGATTATTTTGCTCTGGTTCACAACATTAAGGTTTTGAATAGATGTCTGTCTACCCCCCCCCCCCCCCCCCCCCTCCTCTCCTCTCTCTCTCTCTATCTATCTCTCTCTCTCCCTCATATCTCTCTCATCTCTCTCTCTTTCTCATCTCTCTCTCTCTCTCTCTATCTATCTCTCTCTCTCCCTCATATCTCTCTCATCTCTCTCTCTCTCATCTCTCTCTCTCTCTCTCTCTCTCTCTCTCTCTCTCTATCTCTCTCTCTCCCTCATCTCTCTCTCTCTCTCTCTCTCTCTCTCTCATCTCTCTCTCTCTCTCTCTCATCTCTCTCTCTCTATCTCTCTCTCTCCCTCATCTCTCTCTCTCTCTCATCTCTCTCTCTCTCATCTCTCTCTCTCTCTCATCTCTCTCTCTCTCTCTCCCTCATCTCTCTCTTTCTCTCTCTCTACCTATTTCTCTCCCATAATCCTCCTCTTACTCCCTTGGGACCGCGATCACCATGGAAACCAAGAAAAAAAGGGATTATTGTGATGAGTTTGTACTGATATGACCTCACATATGGGAGCACTAACTGCATTGTTTTGGCACATCACTCGAGGTTGTCATACACGATAGTGCTGGTCCCCTGGCAACCAGCGTACTGATATTATGAGATATTAAGATGTGTCATGAGGCCTGTCATCATCAGACCAAAGTTGCAAAATAACCCGCTATTAGATCAAGAAAATATAGAGAGAAATCTTGGTCTTGTTTCCAAAACAGCCCGCTATTTAGGAAACAGCTGGCTAATTGCGTCTGTCCGAACAAGTAGTTTGTGATGAGTGTATCGGTCTGGTGAGGACGCAATTTCGAGCTTCAGGAAAATATCTGAGTCTGAAAATAGCGGGGTTACTTTGCAACTTTGGTCTGATGAAAACAGGCCTTTATATGGGTGAAGAAAAAAGGTCGCGCCCCTGGTAGAACAAGATTAAAGGGATGTCGACCTTGTATAAGCCTTGTCGACCACGACTCTATCAATGCTCTATCACATACAGGCTTGTACATAAAATGCTTATTTCCCTACGATACTTCCTACCATTGATTTCTTTGAATTCAAAGTTAGTTTTGATTGCGTGCATTTTCAATAGAATATCCAGGGATACGAAACCAACTTCATCCAAAAACCTAAAAAGGTTGATTATTTGGATATTGTCAGAGGTATCAGACAATATCAGAGGTACGTTATAATCACTTGGGATTTTGTATTAACTGGTAGTCTTTCATTTAAAAATTTGAATATGTGTATCTCTATTTTGGTTGCGATGATAACTAATAGGAACTGATTAAAGGCTTGATGGGGAAGTTCTCCCTAACAGTAAGGTAATTAGAATAAGAGCACACCAGTCACATCATGGACCTACTAACAGCTGGAAATACATATCTGTTTGACATGCATATCCATACATTGTATCTTCTTAAAAAAAAAAATATACATGTATATTAAGTATGAACAATAGCATTACCAAATATTTTATGAAATATGTAGCAGACTCTGGCTGAGAGCTCTCATAGTGGTTCACCAGTGCATTCTCCTTACTGTACCTACCTGTAAATGTGAATATGAAAGAGTCAGATCTCCCGTGTTTGAAAGATCATTCTCCGGTGTACCCTGCATCAAGTCGATCCCAAGACCACTCCTTTCCTTGCGAGGTGACGTCTCCTGCTCACGATGATTGCTCGTAGAGTCGCACGGCGTTATCTGCAACTGGCATGCTGGGTTGATCATGACTAAGGACTCGCCGTCCGATTTAACGGTGACTGTTGACGCGATGGACGCCGTATCCGCGATTTCCGAGTATGACGTATGCTGTGACCCTTGTTCCGACGGTCCACTTGACGTGATGCTAGCAGTGTCTGAAACAGATATACTGTCCCTGAAAACAAGGCCGTCGTCTACACTATAACTACGTTTCGAGAATGCTGAGTTCCCATAATGTTCCATGTCATATTCCTCCTCTGGATTTAAATCAATGAGGAGTGAGTCTGATGTCATAGTCAGCGCTCGAGCGGTCCGCCCCGTTTGGCGATCTTGGAGTTCTTTGATCAAGTCGAAACTTCCCGTCGGCATCTGACTGTGTGCTTTATGGCGCGGCGGTGGTACGGGTGCGTTGGGAAGGTCATCATATGACTTTGCGCCATTGCTAAAATTGATGCGGTCGTTTGACGGGAACATGGTATCGTACTCCGCGAGGAGTAAGTGGATGAATTTCTGGCTCATCGAAGTGGCTTCCATCATCGCCGTTGGGTCCTCGTTGTTCGCGCGGAACATGTTCGGCCCGAAGACCGTTGAGAGGTTCAGCACGCCCATCCGATTGTACTTCTCGTACTTCTGGACATCGTGCAAAAAACAGCACATGTACTTCATCAAGTTATAGTTGCATCGCGGAAGCAACGCCAGCTCGCGGATAAGCTCCGCCTTCCCATCCTCCTCCCGCTCCTCGTAAAGTTTGATGGCCTCAAAGAAGTGTTCGTAGTGTTGCCACGGGATGACAGGCTCGGGGAGGGAACGTAGATAGAGTTTTAGAAGGGAAGCAATAGTGTGTACATCTGCTTTTAGTTCCTCAAAGTCTGGTTTTTCGCCAATATCAAAGAGGTCCTGAAGCTCTTTGACTTTGTTGGTCCGTCCAGGCAGTCTGAAATTTATTTTAAAAATTAAAAAAATCAAGCAAATGGGTATTAGAAGTTGAAATATCTAGCCGACAGGACAGGTGGCGATTTCATTTATCATATCTATCGAGAACAGATTCAATGACCCAATGGACCCAGGGCATAATATTAATACAAATAGTTTACTGCTTTCCCAGATCCAAATTCCAGTTGTTACCAGTTGATAACAGTAAGGATTTCCAACTGATATCTACTGGTTTGAACTGGTCTCAACTGGTACCAATTGAAACCAGTTAAAAACACATATCAATAAATATCAATACAAATAGATTACTGCTTTAATTGTTATTCATGCGTTACCAAGACAAAAGACATTTACACCTGTACAAACTGAAATATATCCTGTAGTACAGACATAAGACATAAAGAGCAGCCATAGTGAGTATCAACTACATCCCTCCCTCCCCCCCCCACCCCCCCCCCCCCCTCCCCCCTCTGTCAAACCACAACTACATCATTTTGTTGACACCTTTCCAACTTCTCGCCCATCCCTAGAAATAATTCCTTGAAAGATTAAGATAAGAAGGCAAGTCAAAGCTAGGAATCGGCTTTACACAGGAAATCAGCTAGGCTCAGTGCCAGAGGCATACGGACAGTACACACATAGCCACACACCTTGGCAGCGCGTATTACACTCTGGCACTGTCAAGATGGTGTCAGGAGTGGGATTAAGATTTCGAAACGGGCGGCTTGTTCACACACGAAGCGTTTGTGTATGACAAGAAGTTTCTGTATGCAACAGAGCTCCTTGGGAGTGTTTCACAAAGACTAAGATCGACCTTAAGTTGGACTTAACTATGGCAGGCCGTTCAATTAAGCCACTATTTTCTCTCATCATTTACTGACATTGGTTTCTCAAGGGAAGTACCAATCGTGGTCAAAAATCTACAACATTTCCATTTTTTGATAGTTCATTATTGTAGGAAAACATATTATCTAAAGATCATAATTGAGAGACCAATGGTGAGAGCAACTAGTGGCATGAACTGCCTGCCATAGTTAAGTTCAATTAAAGTTGATCTTAGTCTTTGTGAAACACCCCCCTGGACTTACTATCTGTATGTTTCAAGATACACAAATAAGAAGTGTATCACACTTTATTTTCATTTTCATTTTTATATTTCCAAGTCAAGATTAAAGAAAATTGTATAATCTTCAATACAAGCACATGTTATGAGATATCTGAAGTGGGAGGATCATGAAAAGAACATGAATGAGTTGTTAAAAATGATCCTCACAAAATATAAACAATAACATCTTCCACATTATACAAAATGATGGGGTCTATTATGTTAAATGTGAACACGCCTTAAAGGAAACGTAGGCAATCTCTCCATTTGTGAATGACACACCATCTCCTGTTGATGATGGCAGATTAGCTAGAGTGGTAACACATGTACCAATTTCCACAGGTGATTTGTTCAGGGGTTCTTGAGCAAACAAACAAGTTAGTCTGGTGGAGCCCTGGGAGTCAAGAAATGTCCTGGAAACCCAAGAATCATCATTTTACCGTAATTAACGTTGTACAAACCGCCCTCGTGTATTAACCGCACCCCTCTTTTTCGCCGACTCTTTCGGCAGCAAGCCAGGTCCGTGTTAAAAAACCCATGCGGGAAGGCCTTTCATTTAACTGCGAGGTGCAGCTGAATGTGTAAGATCATTAATGTAAATTAAAAAAAAGTAGAGGACCTAGGATTGAACCTTGTGGTACACCGTGTGTAGGAATTATTATTATAAACTACATATTGAGATCTATCAGAAAGATTACTTTCAAACCAAGATGACAGACAAATTTGATTGTTGTTCTAGTTTCCTAGTGGTGAGTCAACACACCGATTACTGAGCTGGGAGACATTGCCAGGCATAGCGCCAGGTGGAGGGGCATAAATCGAAACTTTTTTTTTTCGGCGGCAAAAATGTGCAGTTTATACACGGTTAATTACGGTATGTGGAAAATATCAGATGCCCAAACATTTTAGCCCGAATTCACAAAGGAGGTTTGTCGACAAACCAAGGTGCGTCGAAACGCGTCATATGACGCACATAAACCTACCTGTAGGTTTGTCGACAACTACCTCCTTTGTGAATTTGGGCCACTGTCTTTGAATGGTAGCGTTGAAGCCTTCAGTGGTTGAATGAAAGAATCTGTATATTAAGTAAATCAGTTTAAAGAGCAGCATTCTCATCTACATGTATGCTTGACACTTTGCCCTTTTCTTTCTTTTATTATAATAATTTTGTTTTTTTCGAGGGGGGGGGTGGAGTGAAAGTATTTTCATTCAAATATCTGTTTCAATACATTACATCAGATCTACATGTACGTTAATGGTCCCCTTGTCTTGTATATTTTTTAGTTGAGTTATATTGTTGCTATATGTCTATTACAATATTTCCTCACAAGTGTAAATTTGAACTGCATTTACAATTAATTTGATTATACCCCGAAGGTTATAAATGTCTCTCCTTAAACAAGCATGAGAACAACACAGTGATACTTTTTAAAGGGGGCAAAATATTATCAACAGTATCTAAAGAAGGGGACATTGCTTCCTAATATATGTAATTGTATCCCAAAATGTCTATAAACTTTTCAATCACTAATCATTGTATCAATTATGAGCATGAGTCCTTCCTGAATTGTCCCTTTCAGCTCTGCTTTAACTTTATTCACAGAGAGGATTACCATCATTTATATTCTCAGAGCCACATGTTGCTATGTCATGCCATAATTCAAAACAGTCTCATCAGGCAGAATCTAGGGTTCATGTGCTTCATAGATAATTGTCATGCCGATGAGGAAGCCAAAGAGCTTGTGTTCAGACTAAACCCTATTTTGTTATTACACATGAAGGTACATTAGGCAGTGGCGTAGGTAGGTACAGGGGAATGTGCCCTATCCATAGGATGCCCCCCCCCAAAAAAAAAAAAAAAAAAAAAAAAAAAAAAAATTGAAAAGAAAGAGAGAAAGAGAGTGAGAGAAAGGGAAAAGGAATACGAAAACAAGAAGTCACAACTGAACCCCCTCTCATAACCCCCACCCCCTCCCATCCCACCTTTAATAATCAGAGACCTTGTTACTTCTCATTTAATCCCTCTAGTATGACTGACCAGAGCATATTACCCCCTGGAGTCTATAGAGAATGCACAACTATATCAAAATCAAATCATACCCAGCAGGTCAACGTGCTTTCCCAAACCCCAATTGGTTACATGATTATTGTATAATCAAAGTATACGGAGTTTTAGTGATCACATTTTAAATGAAAAAGTGGCCCTTGCTACACCTTATAAAAACACAAGTAATCCTATCAAAATTAATTATCCAACAAAGTATGTCTCTTTGTAAGGTGCCATTTGCTGCATAAGCCATGCTAACATCTCCCGTGTTTACAAAACATAGACGGATAGCATTATCAATCATCAAAAGTTTTAAATTTGGCACACCAGAAATAACAAATTGGCAATAGAATATCAATGAACTTAGTTAAATCCTAATTTTAGAATGGGCAACTGTTTAGTTTTAAACTAATTGCCAACACTGATTTGCAAGACCTTGAAGAAGAAACATGATTGCATTTATATCACCCAACTGCTGAAAATAGAATTTACTGACATTTGATTATGACCATGGTCAATGGAATAAAGAAACAAAAATAAATAGCTTCATATGATTTGGTTTTGTCGCATTAAAGTTTCCACAGAAGGTAGTTCTAGAAATTATATTAGGCTTATCATTCAATTGGTTATGTTATTTAGTTTCTAAACAAAGCCAGGTTTCATAATGTTTTGATGAAATCCCAATGATTGGTAAAACCTGGCTAAACTCCAAGGTTATTTTTATTCCAACATTGGTTCGTTAATCTTGAGATTCATATAATTACTATCAACTAAATCTTAAGATCATTTCCTACCTCCTTCAAAAATAGAAGTGAAACTGGGGAGTGCGTAAAGATAGATCGAGTAGAATCATTGCTGCAAAAAGTGCAGTATTCAGACTTTCCATGTCGAGACTAGCCTACAGAAACTAAACTAGAATCGTCACATCTAGACAAACAAGCACTAATGACGAACAATCACCATCTTTCTTGTACCCTTGAGTAGTCATTGCCAATTTGCTACTTGAATATAGCAGTAATGATTGATCTTAACACTTTGGAAATAATACATCTCTATACTATATATATCATGTAGAATTGCAGAATATTTGCTAATTAATGTCACACTAAATTAACTTTCCCTGACTATATACCCTTTACGTATTATACATTAATTTAGCTCCTGCACTATCAGATTGCCAATTTGATACTTTGTATCAAAGGACGTTGTATGCAAATTCCTACATATACATGGAATGATTCCTAACCACTTCTCAGAATATGAAAAAAATAAATGCAAATATAGAAAGAAACAGATAAACAAAAACATGTTGTTGCCAATTTGATAAGGTGTTCCTTTACAAAATGCTACAGGGATTTTTTACCTGAAAATACCTTCCTCGTACATGCCATGGTTCTTGATGAACCTCACACACTGTTCAATGATAGATGGAATCTGCTTGGTTGTGGTCGTGCTCTCGGATGTTAACGTGTCTAGGAGACTCTGTCCAAATATACCTGTGACAACAAGTAAATGTAAAAAGAATCAGGGGTGTTTCACAAAGATCCTAAGTTGAACTTTTCTCTAAGTTGGAGTTAACAATTATGGAAAGCCGTTAGCATCTATGAAAATGTTTTGTAAAAGTTCTTTTAAAAGGCATAAAATGTTGATTTAAATCATTCATATTTTCTATTATTAAGGAGATTTCATGTTCTTGATGTGGAATTAATGAAAATCTAAAATACTTGATTTTTCGCTTTTTAATATATTTTGTTTTAAGGCTACAAATGGCTCTCCATAATTTTCAAGTCAAACTTAGAGTTAAGTTCGACTTAGGATCTGTCTAAATATATCTGTGCAAGGAGAATTAAGAGAAAAATAAATGGAATCTGTTACATTCTTTTTTTTGCTCCTAGGATCAAAACCCTGGCCTCGACCTTGAGTCTGTAACATTGTTTTGAGAAATTTGAGTACATGTGTTCCCTTTACATTTTATGTGTGACAGAAAATCTGAAAGTTCAATAGCAGATTAAAATCAGTTAGCACTATACATGCACATTATCTACATGGACCAACTTGAATTTTTTTGTTATTGTTTCATGACCAGTCCTTTATTATTAATCGTATATAATACAGTCTGAGATTTACTCCTGAATTCTGACTAAGTAGAAATCTGACTTTTTATTTTTGTATTCAGTAACTTTATTTGTCTTTAAATATCCAAATCTGTCTTTTATCTCATGAAAACCAAGTAAATGTACCAATAAAATATTGCCTGCTAAAAGCCAGAAGGGAATTAACCATTAGACACGCCGGCCCAGACATCTGGAACTCTCTGCCCATTGTAATGAGAAACCTTAGGACATTGTATTCTTTTAAGAGGGCACTTAAAACTATGTTATTGTCTAAGTATTGATCATGTCGTGTGTAATTCTACTGTATTCATGTTCGTGTGTACATTGACTGTATATTCAACAATGCTGTGTAATCGTCCATGACCTAGCATCGTTTTTCCATTCATGAATGAACCTGCATTCAATCAACAGATGTATGAGATTTATTGTATTATTACCAACGCTCCTTCTCTCCCCTTTCCTTTTCTTCTCTGCAAGTCACTCTTTTTCATTTTTATTTGTATTGTTGTATCTAAGTTGAGGGCTGCCGGCACGTCAAGCTACTTTGCTTATTTCTGTAGCCCTCCTGCATCGAATGTATGTTAATTATGCATTCAATATATTTGTTTAAATTCAATATATTTGTTTAATATTGTTTATTATCTGTATAAAATTATATACACTTGAAATATTGTATCTATGTTAATGAAAATGTATGATGAAAAAAAAAAAAAAAAAAGATGCAGAAACCAATAAATCAAATCAAATCAAATCAAATCAAATTACCCCTCAACAGATGATATAAACAGTGAATGTTTTTGTTTCATTGTCCACAAGATATTCAGAGTTAAAAACATGGACCATTTCCTTAAAGGTAAAGACCAGTTATGGTCATGCGATTGCATTGTGAGAGAAACATTGTGGAATCGATCAGAAAAGGTTGATCATCTAGCATCTAGCATCTGCAAGGTTCTGGAATCATCAAAATGATAAGAAATTTGGCCCATTCTTCGTAAAGTTACAAGCACTATACACAGAAAGATGTATATGGGACTACCCTGTATCTCTCACAGACCATGAGAGAAACAAATTTACCAAATATATGAATTAGTAGGCGGTTTCCCGGCAAATTTTTTATCATCATGTATTAGTCAAAACATATTCTTTCACATGATTGGTAATGAGAGCTTCCATTTCATTTTTTGAAATTGGGGCGTTTCCAATACTGGTCTTTACCTTTAACAAAATCTTCACAGTGCACTGCCATGGCAACAAAAATATGTGGTTTCTCCTTGCAGTAAAGGCCTGTCTTCATCAGCTTGAGTTTTCCAAATAATCTGCTATGTTCAGACTCAAGCTATTATCCCGAAGCTTGAAATTGCGTTTTCATCAGACCGATACGCTCATCACAAACAAGCTCGGACTATATTTCCCAAAAAGCGGGATATTTTCATGACCAAATATCCCGCTAATTGCAACTGGTTAATTTGTGATCGGGATAGTTAAAATAGTGGGTTATTTGGCTAACTTGAGCTGATGAAGACGGGCCTTAAGTGAAATTAATATTTAGGCCAGGGAAGGAGAAAGGAAAAATAGGTCATGGACAACTCCCAACCCGCTCAGTTGAATCATCAATGCAATATCTGTGTCTGATCTGCGTTTTTTTTTTGTTAACGGCCACCAGCTGAATATCTTCATCTTCTGTTTATAACTAGTATAAGCTGATGCAATGATACTCAAGATTCCATAAATGTACATAGCTTAGTTTATGATTAACTAGATGGAATTTTGACTGCGCGCAGTCGAAAATGATGCCTCCGCCATAGAGCAATTTAAACAAGTTTGGAGTTTAAATCTCCAGTGGTTCTTGAGATATCATGATAACAATCTCAATGTATGGAATTTCATAAGTTGACCTCTGTGACCCTTTACCTTTGACCTACGTGCTCCAAAATCTAATCAGATTGTCTTCCTATGGTGATACACACTATCATTAAGTTTGAAGTTTAAATCTCCAGTGGTTCTTGAGATATTATGATATGGTGATACATACTATCATTAAGTTTGAAGTGAAAATTCTCCAGTGGTTTTTGAGATATCGCGATAACGATCTCAATGTATGGAATTTCATAAGTTGACCTCTGTGACCCTTGACCTTTGACCTACGTGCTCCAAAATCTAATCAGATTGTCTTCCTATGGTGATACACACTATCCTTAAGTTTGAAGTTTTTACATCTCCAGTGGTTCTTGAGATATCATGATAACAATCTCAATGTATGGAATTTCATAAGTTGACCTCTATGACCCTTGACCTTTGACCTACGTGCTCCAAAATGTAATCAGACTGTTTTCCTATAGTGATACATACTATCCTTAAGTTTGAAGTTTAAATCTCAAATGGTTCTTGAGATATCGCGCTAACAATCTCAATGTATGGAATTTCATAAGTTGACCTCTATGACCCTTGACCTTTGACCTACGTGCTCCAAAATGTAATCAGATTGTTTTCCTATAGTGATACACACTATCCCTAAGTTTGAAGTTTAAATCTCCAGTGGTTCTTGAGATATCATGATAACAATCTCAATGTATGGAATTTCACAAGTTGACCTCTGTGACCCTTGACCTTTGACATACGTGCTCCAAAATCTAATCAGATCTTCTTCCTATGGTGATACATACTATCCTTAAGTTTGAAGTTTAAATCTCAAATGGTTCTTGAGATATCGCGCTAACAAACTCAATACAAGGAATTTCATAAGTTGACCTCTGTGACCTGTGACCTTTGACCTACGTACTCCAAAATCTAATCAGATCGTCTTCCTATGGTGATAAATACTATTCCCGAGTCTTAAGTTTAAATCTTTAATGGTTCTTGAGATATTGTGATAACGGTCAAACGGGACGGACGTACGGACGTACGGACGGACGTACGGACGTACGGACGTACGGACGTACGGACGGACAACCCGAAAACATGATGCCTCCGGCACCACCTTCGGTGGCGGAGGCATAAAAATGTATTTAAACCCTACATGTACATGAATATTAGCCTTTTGTGTTTACTAAGTTTTCTGCCCCGATGAATAAATATGCTAGATAGATGATGCCATTTATTAGAGGTTGGCTGGCAACACATCTACATAGATTGTTATTAGAAGGATGCTTTAAAGCGGGACTGCACTACATGGGCCCTCTATATAGCAAACAATGCCTAATCGGTGACTGTTGGTCCCCCATGGTCCCCTTTTACTTACCGGTATGTTGATTGAGAGCTGATTTTATGAGATAACCACCTGTCAGTGACCAGGCAGGGAGGTTTAATCCCTCCTGGCCAAACTAGTGCAGATAGGCTTTAAAGGAACTCCCACAGATCATAAGAACAAACTTTGCCAAGTGCTCCACCTTGCTGTATCATTATTTCAAGTTTTATCACAAAGTAACAGTCCTGGGAAAGTTCATTTTTGAATAATTTTGTCCTATTTTGTTGTTTTCTCATAATTCATAGATTGCTGTTCCATGACTCCAAACTTTGAAACCTTGTTTTAACAGTAGGGACTTTTTGATTTGCATGTTCACTAGTGGACTGCGACGTATGTGGTCACTTTTGAACCAGTGCGCATGCGCATCGACGAGCTCATCGTTCGTAGCAGAATTCTCGAACGCGTTTGCCCTTGTTTTGCCGTCGTTCGCAAACTGTGACGGTACGTGTTCGTAAGCAATCTTTTGTAGGCACGAAACATCACATTGAAGTCACAAAATGGACCCAATTGACCTTATTCTGGAACCAGAGAGTGGTGGAAGTATGAATTCTCTAGCTTAACTTAACACATTTCGTGTCTGTAATTTCCCTTAAATCAAAATTGTTGCAGAATAATTCATAAAATGAACACATTTTATTTATGCATCGCCAATTTGTTGCAGCATAATTTTCGAGATCAGTCCCATGCACCGAATTTGGTGTGTTGAATCTTTAGCTTTACGATCAAATTTCGCGCTTACTGAGCAGAATAATTCATAAAATGAACACATTTCATTTATGCATCGTTAATCTGTTGCAGCATAATTGTTTAGAACAGTCGCATGCACCAAATTTGGTGTTGGATCTTTAGCTATTTGATCAAATTTTGCGCTCACTAAGCGAGCGTCGTAGTTGTGTAAAATCGAAAAGGTAACGAACAGCAGTCAGCGTGCCTCGTCAACCCTGCTTAAAAATGACCGCATACGTCGCAGTCCACTTATAAACGTGCAAATCGAAAAGTCCCTAGTATTGAAATTTGAGCTGTTGAAATTGTGAAACACTGAAAGGATTAAATTGAGTCTGAAGTAAGTAGATTTAACCCCAAATATCTTTCTAGTTTCTACTATTAAAGGTTGTCTGTACTAGTTTGGCTAGGAGGGATTAGCCCACCCACGAAGGTCACTGACAGGTGGCTATCTCATCAACTCAGCTCTCAATTAACATAAGAAAAAGAGGATCATGGGGGACCAACTGTCACCGATTAGGCATGGTTTTCTATATAGAGGGAGCAAGTAGCTACAAGTAGTACAGTGGGCCTTTAAAGAAAAACTTTAAAAGAGAAAGGAGAAGGGATTGATGTAGAGTGTAATCCAGCCTCAGCCTATTTCCTTAGTATGATCTTTAAAATATGATTAAGAGGAAAACATATTTCATTTCATGGAAATATGACATGACATATTCTTGGAAACCAGCCATCCACATTGTTATACTTGAAATAAATTCCAGGTTTATAAACTCTTGATAGGGTTCATGATGTCCCTAAGGATTTCATATCATCATGCAAGCATTTCCTGACATGTCTTTCATCTTTTAACATTGGATGAGTTCAAAACATGTCGGCTGGTATTAAAAGTCGTCATCTCCACTACAATTTGAGCTGTTGTAAATCATAGTCCAGCTGAACTGTCATGGCTTCATTGTCATGTCCTATTAGTAATAATTTCATTTGAAAGCAGCTGTTCTTTTAAATGTCATCATCACTGTTGATATTTTTTATGCTTGAAATGATTTGAAAATCGGTGACTTCATGTTTTTATATCATTGTTGTATATCCTCATAGTGTGTATCTACAATGTACCGGGTATATAGGAAATCTATTTATTCAGATGGTCATATCTCAGCCAATACTTAACATATTCAATTGTTTTTCGATATTTGGACATTATTTTTTTATGCTCTTTCAGAAAAAATGAAGAAAAAATTGAGAAATTCTAAAAAAAATTATGACGTCACACTTTAGCGACATCTACATGTATCTAGAAATTCTATTTCGAGGCGCTTTAATTATTACCTCGGCTTTACAGCACTCCAGCATTTCAAGGAATTAATTCCTGCCAGGTACCACAATACCTCACCTGGGTTGAGTGTGGCAAATTAAGATTAATGCCTTGCCAAAGTACATTAGTGCCGTGGATCAAACCATGACCTTTGAATTTCAAGTTTAAACCACTCGACTACAACACTTCTTTATACTACTATGTACATGTGTGTATATCTCCTGGTTATCAAATCAGTTTCTTAAAGACATTTGTTTACAATACGAAAGAGTCATACCTCCCCCTCTCCTGCCGTACATGACCCTTCGTATGACCTGCGTCCACTCATCCATCTCAAGCTGATTGGTGGCCCAGAGAAGGAAGCTGTCATGGTTTCCGGCCAGACGACCTTGGCTTGATTTACCTGGGAGAGGGCGCCACAAGGGAGAAGGAAAACAAAAAATACAAAAATGAGAAAGGTAACGTGAGTATATATTGTGTAAAAGCTCATTGTGAGGTGAATTGTGAGATGCCTGGATGTGGGACGTCGCTCGTACTGTTGGATGTAACGCCATTGATGTTATGGTGTTTATATGTTTGACAATTTGTATAATTGTGTACATTGTGTGTAATACACCTGTACAATAAATCAATTCAATTCAATTCAATTCAATTCAAAGACGGCCTTTCTATAAACCAGCAAATGACTGTTGTAAGCTCAGTTACATTTTTGTTTTAATGAATCAAATTTAAATTGAAAGAATTGAGCTCGGTTGTGAATATACTGTAAAACCAGGGGGTGTTTCACAAAGATTTTAAGTCAAATTTAACTCTAAGTTGGACTTAAATATAATGGAGAGCAATTTGTAGCCTTATAATGAAATATATTCAAAAGCAAAAATTCAAGTATTTTAGACTTTTCATAAATTCCACATCAAGAATATGAAATCTCCCATGATAATACAAAAGATGAATGATTTGAATCAACATTTTAGGCCTTTTAAAATAACTTTTACAACATTTTCAAGGATGCTAACGGCTTTCCGTAATTTTTAAGTCCAACTTAGAGACAAGTTCAACTTAGGATCTTTGTGAAACACCCCCAGAAGTGTTTGCATGCATGACACTTAAACAAATATCAGGAGTGGACAAGATTCAAGAAAATGTCATGCTGCAAAGTATCTTAAATCACAATCCTCATAACACCAAACTCTGGAAATTTGCAGGAAAAAAATGGCTGTCATTTGAAATTCACAAAACTTTTATGTCACACCAGTTTCAGGTTTTATTGTTCACCTGTACTTGAAATTGGGAGGTCCAGGATTCAAAACTCAGTTTTGTCTCATACATTAGGTCATCAATAACATGAACTGCCACAACATTACCATGTATTGGCATGTTTTCTCACAGCCAATCAAATTTTTATTAATTTTTGGACTTTGTTATTTATTATAAGCTTTATGAAACTGGAACTACGTTTAGGTGATACATCATACAGTCATGTACATGTAATGTAGCTATTATACATTTGTAGTTGTGACAGGTGCCTACATGTATGTACTCACTCATACATCAATTCATGGATGCTCATGCACCTAAATAGAGATTACTTGGGAGATTGTATTTGGGAGAAACTACATTTTAATTTATTTATTTTTATTTATTCAATTCCCAGGAACATGACATCATATGATAACATAAAAAGACGATGAAAGCATACACAAATGATGATAAGAATGACAATTAGAGAAAACAGCAACAGCAACAACCAATTACTGGAATACCCCAAAGAAATATCAATTGCTGTTTATAAAGCCTAAGGGCTCTCCTCATTGGCTTTTTTTTTTTTTGGGGGGGGGTCAATGTTAATCTTCCACCCCCCTCCAAAAAAAAAAAGAGAGGAAAATTATGATGTACTATGCATGAGTGTCACAACTTTCTCTCCTCTACTTGCTATGCATGGTAAAGATTACCTTTGCATTTGGATTATGCATTTATCATATATAAAATATGGTTTTGAGTCTTTATTATGCTACTAAAATTACAAACAGGTCATCAACAATATTTTCAAAACAATAGTACAGTGTTAAGTAAATCCTGTTTCTACTGATTATGGTGTTCATTTCAAACTATCAAACTATTGCATTAGTAACAGAGTCCAACACAGGTTTGGGTCTATATTAAAGTGTACCCTAACCAACGTCTCAACATCAACACATCTTTGGTGTGGGACAGATCGAGGCTAGGAGGGGTTGAATGAATGGAACAAGAGGGGGCTCGATCGATCACCCCTCCTCTCTTCGATGTACTAAAGGGCCTCGCATGGGAGGGGTCAAAGCTACAGACTGAAGAGGGTGAACGTCTGTTTCGGAATCTCAACTGACTCATCGAGTCTCTACCAAGTCAAAGGGAAGGAAGCGCTAATTTAGGTCAGGGTGGTTTAAAGCGAGTTCTGTTCCTTCTATGGGCACGTAGGTGTCTACACTGTCTTCATTTCGTCCACATGGGTGAACCAAGATGTGTTTAGTCTGTACGTTAGGGAAGCATATAGATGATTTGCCCTGTTTTGGCTGGCCTGATATAGGGTGTGTACCACAGTCAAACATGTACACAGTACAGGTAATTTTAGTTCATGTCTCACCAATTATATTGTACAGTGGGTCCCAGAAAAAAACGAAAACCCAAATTTCATGGCAGAAATTTTCTATCATAATTCATAATCCTTGATTTTCCTTGATGAGATATACATGTCCTGTATGAAAAGCTCTGTTTCTTTTCTTTCACTTGCTTATTATTCATAATTTACAATTGACTGACTTAAAACAATAGAAAGAACTGCTGCCAGAATTTGATTTCCACCAACGAATTGCAACTTTGGATTAGTATGGAGGGTAGTAACCCTAATGATTGTTTGAGAAGAAAAAAAACATTACATGAAATTAAAAACTTTCGCTTTCATATGACACCTCATGCGTTAAAAAATGAATGATGTATGCCGGAGACAAAGTGAAATAAAAACACGCTTGATTTCTGTCCTAATTAGTGGATAGTTGGGTTAGTAGCCATTTAGCTTTCCTGACCTAGCATAAGTTATTAATAATAAGTTGTACAGCAAATGAAAGAGAAGAAGCAGAGCTTTTTAAACATGTACCTGTATATCTCATTAAGAAAATTATTCATTAAGATAGAAAATGTTCTGCCATGAAATCCAGTTTTGTTTTTTATCTGGGACATAATGTAATATACATGTACATGTAGATATTGATGGGATGAAATCAAACATGATTTAGAACTACTTTATTTCATTTTATCATGATCATTTTATTTTTAGAATGAAGGTTAGGCAGGGCTTGACACAGCGTGTATATGTTTACTGATGAATAAAAGTTCCAGACCCCCTTCCAATTAAATTTAGTAGAAGCCCTATGTTAGGATATGATGATTATTCATTGTCAGATGTCCTATCAACATTAATCTCATTTGCCCCAAAATACTTAAAGTACAGCTTCTGGAATCCTCAACTTTTGATTCATTTTCGAAAGACCATACACCGTGGCTGATGTAAAAATTATATTGTTTAATCATGATTGGAAAATTGAGTGTGCAATTTACCACTTCCACTGTGTGTTTATCAAGATTAGGTCAAGTGTACTATCAGTTTCGGGAAGAAATTTATTACATTTTGTTGTGTCATATAAAGAAGATTGTCAATAAAGGAAATATTAGTGAATAAAGAATTGTTTGGGAAGGAAATACATCGTCTGTTATTGGGAATTGAAAGTAATTGAGAATGGATGATATAATGAAAAAGATCATTAATCAAATTCCAGCATCACATTTCAAAAGTATCCATGCAGATCAGTCCATTATTGTAATGGCAAAAAAAGATGCATACTGCATGAAAGTTAATGATACACGTTCATGAGTTTCATTCAAACTTTGGACACAGGAGAAGTAGAAGAACAAGAAAGAGAATAAGAAGAAAGGGAATGAGGTGGAAGAGCTGGATGCACAGAAGAAGAAAACAAAATGAAAGGGAAGGAGAAGGAGGAGGAAGGGGAGGCAGAGATGAAGAAGAAGATGAGGAACAAGAAAAAAGAGAAGAAGAAGAGGGAGTGGAAGGGGAGGCACAAAAGAAGAAGAAGAAGAAGAAGAAGAAGAAGAAGAAGAAGAAGAAGAAGAAGAAGAAGAAGAAGAAGAAAGAAGAAGAAGAAGAAGAAGAAGAAGAAGAAGAAGGAGAAGAAGAAGAAGAAGAAGAAGAAGAAGAAGAAGAAGAAGAAGAAGAAGAAGAAGAAAAAGGAGAAGAAGAGGAGGAAGAAGAGGAGGAAGAAAATAAAGACAAAGTAGTAAATAAGAAAAAGAAGAGTTAGGACAAAGAAAAGCGTTTACCAACATACAAAAGAACACGCCCATATTGATTTAAAATACATGTATCAAGATCATATTACCATTTAATGTTTTGATATGAGCAGGACCTTATCAAGGCTTCATGCATTGCAATCCTTATATTACAATAATAAAATAAATCATTATAAATCTCTTTCCTGCAAGCATTGATATATTACATGAATGAGGAAATAACTAATAATTTAACTGTTTAAATAGACTTTGATACCAAAGTAAATACAATTCTAAAATGTTTGCCTCGTAAATCATGTTGCTCTTCCTTCCTTATTCCTGTTCAATTTCACATTCTTCAATTTGTACCCACAGTGTCTTGCCTCAAAAGATCCCCTTCAAAGGATTTTACAAACATTTTAATATGCTTTTTATTGTTTGAAGAAAAAACACTTCAAGATGCATATTATGTTTGTTAACAATATCCGGTTTTGACAGAATATAAAGCTTTTTGCTATACACTATGAAGCATTTTTATAGCAAATTTTTAAAGCAAATTATGTCAAATTAGTTAACTATTTTTTGCTGCAACCTTTGTTTTAGACATAAAGGTACACAAGGTATAGATCATAGAGGATGCAGGCCTGAACATGTACACCATGTTGATTCATACATGTGGGTGTTTCCATAACTTAGGGACCCCCTTTGTGACATTTTTGGTGTCCTGCTTTAAGGAAACCACACATATTTGTGGCTCTGAGTACAGAATTAAATAATGGAGTGAGATTGTAAAGTGATTTCCAAGCATGATATTGCATCCTCATACCTAGAATCACTTAAAAATCATACCCCACTATTTCAGTCTTTACTCAGAGCTACAGATAAGTGTGGGTTCTTTTAATTTATGTAAGCGGGACACCAAAATTGTCACAAAGTGGGTCCCTAATTTATGGAATTACCTACGTGTAGTTGATGGTTGCTTGAAAACTTTTCCAATTGAAGATAAAGCTGATGACATAGGGATGAGTGGCGGCCATTTTGTTTCAGAGGGGGAAGCTTTCCAGGAGCATTCGATTCAAATGAATCATACATGTACCTGTAGCAATTTGGTTGCTTGACAACTCTTTCAAATGAAGATAAAGCCGATGACAAAGGGATGAGCGGCGGCCATTTTGTTTCAGAAGGGCTGCAAACTTTGCTTTTAACAAAATTGCACAAGGTATAGATCATTGAGGATAGAGGCCTGCAAATGTACACCATGTTGATTCATACATGAGCTGTTGGTTGCTTGAAAACTTTTTCAAGTGAAGATAAAGCTGATGATAGGGATGAGCGGCGGCCATTTTGTTTCAGAAGGGAAGGTTTCCAGCAGGCAGCATACGATTCAAATAATGCAAGCAATCCAAGCATGCCATCCAGTGCGTCCACACGGGCTGGAAAATTGATAGAAAGATTGAAACGACACACACCTCCCTTACCTGGTAGGATTTCAAAGAGGTACTTCCCCGGTTCTTCAGCCGTGTAGGTGTGCTTCTTGAGGACATTGCCGTGGAGAGGGATGTAGCCCAGGGCGCGGACATCGTCCTCCTTGGCATAGTAGTACATGAAGTCACCAGCCACCTAGGAAGCATGTAAAGAAACAAGAAAACATGCACATCTACATAATACTGGTTATTGCATGCAGAGATGCCAACTTTTGGAAATCAGAAATAGGGAGGATTTGTAATCGACACCAATTAATGTGCGCGTAGCGCACATCTCGAGCGCGTAGCGCCCGACACATGCAGCCGGGGTCCAGGGCCCGCCTTAGGGCCCTGGAAGCTCTGGGGTTCTAGATGCTCTCTGGTGCAATCTGAGCCTTATTTTGGAGCATTTTACATGTGTATTTAGTTAAATAATTCCCCCTTTTTTTTTAAATAACATAAAAATTGTACAAAATGCATGATGAATTACTTTCAGACTTCCGATTACACAGGTACTTGATACTGTATTCGGTCTTATACTTCCGAGACCATTTCCTGGTCTTATTTTGCTGATTTTCCGCCATTTGGATTCTGTGGCAATATCCACGCATTGGTTACGGCGATCCATATGCTGAAACAATCTTTCGCTACTCTTAATTTGTCTTTTAACATAGTGGAATTATTACATGCTTAAGTTAGCAGATGATATTTCTCTTTCAATTCACAGATATATATACTGATAAGCGCCCTCCAAAAAAAATCATAATAAAAAAAAAATAAAATAAAAAAAAAAAAAAATAAAAAAAAAAAAAAAATCATTTTTTTTTTTTTTTTTTTTTTAATAAATCGGGAGGATAAGGATGGTGATCGTAAGGTCGGGAGTTGGGGTGAATTATCGGGAGCCTCCCGATAAAATCGGGAGGGTTGGCATCTCTGTTGCATGATATAACTGCAAGCAGCTTTTAGAAGAAATTGTAATGCTGGGTAGTGGGCATAATATCCCTCATGTATAGTTTTGGGCATTGCGATTGTACAGAGCACGAAAAAGGGATGGTTCACCATAAATTTGAGGGAGTGAGAAAATTTACTATTTGGCGTGGTATAGTACATTCCGGAATCCCCTTTTCCACCGATCACTGAAAAGCATCTGCCTGCCGAACCCAGGCGGATGACTGGAGCCTGCGTTGTGTGTTAACATGTGCCTCCCCTTGTTTCATAGACGCAGGCTATGTTAAGTGGATACCGTTCCGTCCCTCAGATAGGACGTTAAATGGAGGCCCCCTGTAGAGGAGAGTCACCACCTTTGCACGTTAAGAACCCACTGCACTATTCGTATAAGAGTAGGGGGAAACCCCGGTGACGGTGTAGTGGTCCAACTGCACACCCCAGTATACCCCTATATCCAGATGGACCTTGTGGAAGATTAGCCCTGTCGGCTAAACAAGCTATCCCACCGCTGTCACCATGATGAGTTTGAGGGTCTTGGTATTGTAGATAACTCAGGATAATAGAGAGTCGGCAGTCTGGTTTGTAATGGTAGACATGTTGTTTTTTCAACTACGGCGGATACCGGATATTTGGATATCGCAACATCTACTAAAATACTACTACTACTACTACTACTACTACTACCTTGAAGTATCTCCGTTGCCAGGAGCGGAATGCTCCGCCCTGCTTCTTGAGCCACCCCCGATGGATGACATCTTCATCCTGAATGTTGATGATGCGGTCCGTCATCCTCCGGTTGGAAACATGGACGTCATTCTGAGACAGAAGAGGAGGAGGGGGAGGAGATGAAAGTTAGAGTTAATTGGACAAACTGATGATTGTTTGCTATAAAGCAATATTGATTTAGAACTGAAAGATTGCTTGACATGAATTAATGTAGGTGGTCGTTAACCCAACAACGAGATACAATTTGATTTTGGTAGAACATGCCTTTTTATTTTTGGTAACATACCATCGGTAGGCCACTATCCTAAAGATCTCAACCAGTATGTATTTCACATTATTTTGGAAAATGTTCATTCCATTTGTAGATATAACACATGATTTAGTGCATTGAATGTAGAGTGAATAACAAAAGCCTGTATATCAAATATGATCTACATCCAAGTAGTTATGTAAATATTACAATAACGTGAAAATCACATTTCATTTTCTTGATTGTTGAGGCCTGAGGGGTATACTATTTTTCTTGCAATTTACAAAGTGCTCAACCAAACTTGCAATGCACCATTAGACCATTGAAACACAGGTTTGCCAGAGCAGATTAAGCAGAGCAAGAAATTAGAGGGAAAAAAAGCAAATTTGTATAAATTATTTTTACAGGGTATACAGCACTTCCTGTGGTAAGAGTGTAACTTCCATACATAAATAACTGGATAAGTACCGTTCCTTCAATATTAGCGCCTTTCATATACCGGTACTACAGCTTTTCATCCTTTCAATGTAATATAATGCCTTGTTTCTGCTGTTTTTTCTTGTTCCATATTCTTTTGTATCCTTCTTTTTTCTAATCAAATCTTGTGCACGAATATTAGACCGAATGAACCAAGTGGTCATTAGACGAAATGCTAATTAGACGTGGTGGTTATTAGACAAGTTGGCAAGTGGAGAAAGTGGGTAATAGATGAAATGATTACTAGACCTTATGGATAGAAGATGAAATGGGCATTAGACAAACTGGAAATTAGACTGACTGGTTTAGACTAAATGAATAATAGACTGAAATGGGAAGTTGACATATTGAGATACGACCTAATGGAAATTAGACCAAATGGCTATTAGTCTAATGGAAATTAGACCAAATGGCTATTAGTCTAATGGAAATTAGACCAAATGGCTATTAGTCTAAACAGTCATTAGACAACATGATATGTAGACAAAATGATCATTAGACCATATGAATAGCAGATGGGCTGGGTGCAGGCCATTTAGGAATAGACTAATTGGGTATTTAATAGACGAACTTGTTTTAGAACAAACAGCAATGCACCTGGAACTGTTTTTTTTAACCCAAGAAAATTATCATTCCTTTATAAAGCCCATAAATTCTTTGCCAGCACTAAGGAACCAAGACAGAATAGTAGATTTGCATAATATGACTATAAAACAGCTTTTAAACAAACGTTTACATTTTAATAATCCTGGAACATCCAAAGCGTCTGTCTATCTCTGAGAATCATTATGGTATCGTGCCAGAAAAAGTCAGTAGCCTGTTTTTATTACCAGAAAGCATAACAATAGGCACCAGACTGAGAATTACACAATACAAATGTGGCTAGCTCGCACCAGGGAAAAAAAGGGTAATTGTTGATGCTCTTTTTGCAACAAAGAATAAAAAACTGTACCACATTTGTTCTTGTTGTTGTTTTCTCTTTTTCTCTTATTGTTCTTCTTTTGTTGGTTCTGTTACTATCTGTCCTCTCTGTTTGTTTTGTCTGTACTTTATAAAACCTGGTCTGAGTTTAACTTTCTTTAATTTGTTTATAGTTGAATGACCTGTGATTCTGTTTTATGCATACAATTTTTTTTTATGCACCATGTAACACTTGGACTTATGAAACAAGATTTGTAACGTTATACTGTATAAGTTGACAATGTATGTATTACAATGTTTACAATGTTCACAAAAAGTATGTATCAGTTCACTCAGTTGGTTATCAATTATTTATATAATATGTTCCAAATGTGTATATGAAAAATATAATAAAATTTTGTTTAAAAAATGGTTATGACAAAAGCACAGAAAATATTCAACTCTGAAATATATTTTCCATCTATTTTTTTATCCAAAAATATCTGTAGCCTATATTTCTGTGTATTTTTTTCCCATAAGAAAGTAGAGAAAAAATTAGTTTTCTGGGAAACACCATAATAATGTAGAGAAAATGGTTTTTTTGGGGGGTATAAATATGTCAAAAACAGCCAGGATAGGCAATATAATTGGATAATTTTCTCATAAAATGAGGGATCTTCTTTAAAAGCTGGGTGGTACTGAAAGGGTTAAGTTATGCTAAATATTAAGGAAAGCTTGTAATAAACAAACATAAAATTATTAAAAATAACACTTCAAATCTCTTTTTACTCCTCAATTTTCCCAGCGAAAGGAGATCAAACCAAAAACTCAACTTCCTGACCAACTTTACTTAAAATACTCTTAAATTAGACCCGATGTTGCCTTCTTCAGAACATCACCCCAAAATTATATATATATTAGGAAACATGATGTAAACACAAAAATAGAACATTGTTCTTAACATTCAGTTAGATTCTTCTTTGTTGGTTTCCAGCACTTTCCTAATATACATGTCTGGGACTTAATCCATTTTGTACTCTAAATTTAGCTGAATGCCAGATACTGATCATTTTATAAATAACAACTCTCAGATAGATTATCCCTCATGACATTCTAGAAATGAGGTATCCTAAGTTCCTTACTATGTTTAGGAAGACACTTTATGCAAAGTCAGATAATTCTGTTGGAGTTCAGAGGAAATTTTAATTTACCCTTTTTTTTCTTACATATTTGTCACAGTAATAGCTTTGGTTTTCTGAATTATCTCACAGAATGTTTTGTCAGAAGTTGCTACCAATAATCACTACAAAAAAACAAATCAATAAACCCATCTCTGGAGCATGGTTTTTAGATGGCGGCAGAAGCTTCACCGGTTTTTCCAGTGTAAATGCTTGCTCTCAAACACAAATGAATCATTCCGTTTTTCAGTCACATACCGATAATTAACTCTCCTCAGTTCTGTGCTAACGCATTCAGGGCAGCAACAAATTATGATGCATTCTCACAAATCATCAAATAAACAAACGCTGTCGGTTTTAGAAAAGAAGATATTTTTTATAATGGTTTTGGGCTCTTTGAATGGGCCGATACATTACATGTGCCTCCAAAATGTCAAGAATGTCAGGAATCTTCTTCAAGTGTACAAACACTTAACACTTACACTTTCTGATTTAGACCCCCCCCCCCCCCAAAAAAAAAAAAAAAAAAAAAAAATGGAAACGGGGGACCGTTTAAAGAATCAAGGCAGCTGATATGTCATAATTATGATAATTATTTAAAACTCTCACATGAAACTCCAAATTGTGAAGCAGCACCTCTCGCTCATCATGAATTTTTGGAATATGTTTTGAGATACAGACAGCTGCCAAAATAACTCTGCCATAAGCTGCTGTAGTATCAGCCAAATTTATCCAAGGTTGCCACGAAAGACTGTGGTACACGCCCAGACTTAGTCAGAGGATGACAACATGTATTTTCATCACAAGAGCCTTATTTTACTTTCATGTGCAAGGCAAAGAAAAGCATGTCTAGGGTCTAGACAAGGAGGTAAATATTCCATCTTCCAAACGATTCTATCTTTAAAATGAGAGGAAATAAATGTGAGTAATAAAGTCAACATTCATGTGAGTGACCATCCAGTTGAACCAAATACAACTTTTAGACCGTGGGACGACCCTGTTTTCTTTCAGTTTGGTTTTCATCCTAAAAGGACTAAACCAATTCGATCTTAAAAGATGTGTTGTTTATTACAATAACAGAATCACATGTTCCATTTTGTACAACATGCTGATTAATTATTAACCCTAAAAAACACAATTAAAAAAATGACGTCTTTTATCATGTTATACTTTACTGTTTTTTGGCCAAAATTTTCATTTTAATAATATATCTAAGCTTACAACTTTGTTTTATTATTCACTTGAATACATTATGACCTGTAAAATGCTTTCCATAATGATTTTTAGTTTGTACAATTGTGACACTATCTACTGTAGTACTATACTAGTAAGAAATCTATAAAGATTAGTTTCAAAATTTCTGAGAACATTTTTCCTATACTGGTCACTACGTGTAGCACGCTAAATAATATTTCATCCTTATCACTTCATGTGCCAGTCCTTTAAAAGTACATATGGTTTCAGTTACATGTAAATAATTAACCAGATCAAGTCAAATTTGTAATGATAACAACATAAATTGTTCATGAATGTATGTTATAAAATATTTTTTCAATTTAGCATAATGCAAACAGTATGTCATTATAATTTACCAGATAAGAATATTAAATTGTACCCCCCCCCCCCAAAAAAAAAATAAAAAATAAAAAAAATTAGACACTTCCTCCCAAAAGATCTTGTTTTCATTTCAAAAGAACTCTACAGATCTTCAAAATTAGTTTCTATCTCGCAAAAGCAGTCTGCGTTTGATTAATGTGAATTAATGATTTATAAATGGAACATGCATAGAATACCATACGATAGTCACAAGACACTACTTATTTGAGCCAGCGTGAACATTAATTTTCATTGCCATCTACAATGTTAGATGAATAGCTACAACAGATGATGGTTGGAAACTGTTGAAGAATCTTGGAAGGATGTTTTACACACACAAAGAAGGTATCCTATACATTCAGAATTCTTTGCAAGTATGAAAGGTTTGATAATTGGTTCAAGTGGTTAAGACTGGTTTCATTCTGTAAAATTAATAAATAACAAGTGACAAGAGTTTGTTCAAGTCATGAAAGTTTGTTGCCATGACAATGGCTGTCCTGCACAAAGTTTCATGTTGTGGTTTGTTTAAGTGTTACAGTATAGGAACCATACAACACTAAGAGATACTAAAAACAAGGGATAGGGTTCTGGGGGTGTTTCACAAAGATCTTAAGTCAAACTCTAAGTTTAACTTAAACATCATGGAGAGCCGTTTGTAGCCTTAACAAAAAACATATTCAAAGGAAAAA